GGCCTTCCCGGCGCAGGGGGTGACAGGGTCGAGAGGGGCCCGCTGCAGCCTCAGTCGGCGGCACTGCAACTCCTGCTCCCGTGAAATTTTTGCAAGTCTGTGCCTGGAGTACAGACAAGATCCCGAAGGGTTCGCCTGTGCTTTGGGTTGCTGCTCCCCAGCGCCTTTCCCAGGGCTCCTGCCACGCCTAAACTTTCTTGTAGGCTTCAAGTAATGGATTGTGTAAAATACTCCTTGTTAAAGTCCGTGGCAGAAGCCTGCGTTGGAATTGTGAAATAGGAGCTGGGGATTTTTAATCTAACATCTTTAAAGAGTCCTTGCTTGTAGTTTTCTCAGAAAATTAAATCCTTGACCAGCACTGAATTCTTATGAGTACGTTTAAGAAGCTGTAGCCGTATGTTGCACTCTGTGACTTTCATTTTAGCAGAAGGAGGCTTTGGTGTTTGAAGCTTTAATTTTTGTTTAAATAAGCATAAAAAACTAAATCTTTACCAGTTATAAGAACTGCAAATCCTTAGGACTGATGACTCTATTTGAGCAAGAGAAGTGAGGCATTTGTGTACCTCTTTCCATGTATCAGTTGAAAAATTGTCTAGTTGTGCTGTAATTGTCCCCAGAATTGACAGAGACGTAGCATTTTGGGTTCCTGGGGCGTGTGGTGCCTTCTGTTGAATCAGGGCTGAGTGCTTGCTGCTGTAACTGGAAACTGTACAGACTACTAGAGGCATTAATTCATTCACCCATGCCTGGAGGCCCATGGACCTGCTGCTGCTTGAGCCAGAAAGCTCTGACAGCGTTCCTGATAGGCTGCCCTGAAAACCTGTCGCATGGTCTGTGAAAGCAAAATCTGGAAGCTTCAGCTGAATTCCAGATCTCCAGCGTTATCCATGCCTATAGCAGGAAGCTTTAAAGCACCGTGGAGTTGTAGACTCCTGAACCAACTGCTTCCTGAGCTGTAAAAGTCTGACAGCCTAGAAGCTCTTGGGCCCAGAGTATTGCAAGGGATACTTGAAAGTAGTTTGGGTGGGGGAAGCTCCTGCAGTCTTGGCTGGTAGGTGAGCTGGCAGGCTGTTTCCTGGAAGGTGCGTGTGTTTTTGTTGGTGCTGGTTTTTTTATTTGTTTTCCTTCTAGCAGAAGATGCACTGAAAATGATAGGGGTCTTTAAAATACAACTCCTTTGACAAATCACTATTTTTCACGGAAACCTAATTCAAATGAAAAAAAATTTATTTAGTTCTTAATACTGGCAAAGACTGTAATGCAAAAATGTAGAATCACCACTTTTTTTTCTGCCGGTGGAGAAGAGGGAGAATTTTGGAGTAAATTACAGTTATTTGGAAGTTTGTGCATGAAGGAACCAGAAATTTTTATTCGTTACTTTCAACAGTTTATGTGAAGGGTAGGCCTAAAAGATAGTGGCAATGTTTTCATGCTGTCACTGTGGTTCCCTGTGTCCGCATTGATAGTATTTGAGCAAAGGTGAGGCATAGCTTCCATTTAATTTGAAAGGGAAACAAAGCTTTGAATGTGCCCTCACTGTGGCTTCACCTGTCAAGGACACAAAAGCTGTAGTTTGTGGGCTTTGTTTGTTTTGTTTTGTGCAGTTTCTGTTTACTAGAAGAGGTCTGCTTTTTTCCAGTTAAGTAGCATTACCTGTCTTTACTATCAGTTGCATACTCTTTGCCAGAAAGTTGTACTTCTAAGACATGTGAAACTTCCGATTTATATTGGGACCATGGATCAAAGTGGATTTAAAGATCTTGAGATCTTTATGCACAGCAGAGATTTTAACAGCCATTCAGCATCTTCTGTGATACACGAAGATGTGTTTTTTGAAGTCTTTTCAATGAAATACCCAACCAGAATCCTCAGTAATAGCAACTTTGTACTCTGATATCAAATGTTGACTATATTAATTAATAAAATACTTATTCAGCTTAAGGGACTTCTCTGCCAAGCGTTTGCTAGACAAGTCTTGAATAATTGCATTTGTAGTCCTGTTAAAAGTGAATTCTTTGCTGTTGCAACGATGCCTTTCGTGCATAGACAAGACAAGATAGTTGTATTAGACTTTAGTTAGAAAGATTTGCTTAAGTAAAGTATTGCTTAAGTAAAGAAAGCTTTCATTTCTAGCTTAAAACTGTGAGGGATCTGTATTTTCTGTTAGAGGTGGTAAAATGCTTACCTTTGCGAAAGAGTACACTAGGGTCATCCTCTAACTTATACTGTACAGAGCATTTAAAAATTACATTCAGCCTCAGTATTTACTAGGAAGTAATCTTTGTATTATCAAAAGTAAATCTGTGGTGCTGCAAGATAGGTAGATCTGGAAAAATGTGCAATGCTCTAAACTCTCACTGAAGTCTCTTAATAGGTGTTTTGCACCTTGCAGGAAAACTGGCTCCTATTTCTAATAGAGTAATACAGCATAAACTTGAAAATAGTATCCTTGCTGGACTAGAAAGCTGTTAGGACTTACATATTTTATTGTTCTTGGACTTCAACTCAACCGATCAGTTTACTTCCATATGGGACACTTTATTCTGAGGGGAAGGGGTCGTGTGTGTCCTTGATTCGAACTTTTTTATTTACCTTCTTCTCTGTTTCCTGTTTCATTTTCAGCCGGATTTCGATGTTGACCACTTTGTATCTGACTGCAGGAAACGTGTGCAGTTGGAAGAGCTCAGAGAGGATCTAGAGCTCTATTACAAACTCCTTAAAACTGCCATGGTAGAACTCATAAATAAGGATTATGCTGACTTTGTTAATCTCTCAACGAATCTAGTAAGTGTTCTTAAGTTGTACTGTGTAGTTCAAACTTCATATGTTTTAGTGTGATTTTTATTTTCCATGTAAAAAGTGCATGGCATTCTCTTTGGCATTGTTGGAACTGCAGCACCTTGCACTGAGAGAAGCTGAAAGACTATACCTGAAGAGTTTAGCTTTTGTGCAAAACTGCTTTTGTCCCGTAATAAAAGTCTTAGATGAACGCTCTTCAACTTAAAAAGATTAAATATCACTGTATCTGCTGCTCTTTCACTCCAGTTTATCAGATTATACAGGGTCAAAGATTGAGGCTTATCACTTTTATTGGAAGAAAAATTTCATATGTCTAGGTCTTCTTTCATTTTTGGCTTTGTGTGCCAAAAAGTCTGGTTTCTTTATGCCTCCGTTTGAGTCATTAAAAGAACATATTTTTGCATTGCACTTAAAACTGAAGATTGTATAAAGGGGGATATCTTATCTGAGTTCTTTTTCGGTATCTACAAAATGATAGACTCTGTCATCAATTCACATATGAACTAAAATTATAAGTTATTTTATGGTAATTTCTTTAGGTTGGCATGGACAAGGCCCTTAATCAGCTTTCAGTACCTTTGGGACAGTTAAGAGAAGAAGTTATGGTATGTTCAAAATAATCATTAGATACAATTTGGTAAATTTCAAATCACTTCCGTATGATACAGATGCGTTCTTTATTCATGTTAATAATTATTTTAAGGAACTTCTCTTTGAAAATTAACCTCTTAGTAAGGTAATAAGAGAGGTATTGTGCTTTCAAGCAAGTGTAGTAGCAGTAAACTTGCATTCTCAATAGCGCCTTTCAATCAAGAGTTAAAGGTTTCCCTTAAGTATATAAATGAGTGCACCCTTGCAAGATCGGTCTATAGTGAAATATTAAAACTTGAGTAACTTAAAGATGGTACTAAGTAAGCCAGATAACAACACACGCTTTTTGCTCTGTCATGTGGTTTAACCATTAAAGATCGTCCTCTTGAAGACCTTTCTTATTCTCTTTCTTTCTTATTTTTCCACAGGGCCTTGAAATTAGTGAAGGGCAATTCTTAATGATCTTCCCCTTTGCAGCTGGTTCAAAGGGGTGTTTGTTTGCATAAATGTTCCTTCAAAATACTTCAGCCTTGATGTTTAAAACAGACATATTTCTCTATGCTAGTAATGCACCTATTTTATTAAAATAATGTGAAAATGCTTCTTAGATCCAATGTATAACTTCAATTTCAAGGCCTGAAATCATGTTTGTTTTATTGCCTAGTCTTGTGTGAAAGGGAAATGTGCGGTTTGTGCTCTGCACGTAACTAAAATAACACTTTTGGCTGAAATAATGATACTTGTAGTGGCAGTGCTTTGGGAGCAGTTTATGCTTTCAGGTTTTTTGTCTTATTTCTGATTCGTTCACTTTGAGGGAAGCTAATCTGTTGTGTCTTTTATTTCTTACTACTCTGTCTTTGAGTGTGTTTTGGAGGGGGGAATAATTAAGTAGAAAAATGGCAGCATGTGAGGACTGGCAAATGTTTTAGGTCTTTAAAGTTGGAGCTTAGATCTGGAATTAAGGTTTTAATAACTCTTCACCATATTGGGAAGCCAGCTTTTCATACTGAATTTCTCTCTTACAGAGTCTTAAGTCTTGTGTCAGTGAAGGGATACGAGCAGTAGATGATTGGATGTCTAAACAAGAAGATATTAGAAGAAAAAAGGTACAGCAGGCGTATGATTGCCTTGAAAAGATCCTGATTAGGGTGACTTTTATTTTTGCCATTAGACCAATGAAAAAGAATTTTTTTCAAGTTCTAGATTGTCTAGATGCATACTGTGCAGGGATTTTGCGTCTGTAAAGATAGTTGCTGAAGTTTTGGGTGGCAGACTTATTTACAGCGTCTAACTGATTGTAAACCTGTATTTTCTTTTATTGACAAAACCGTATATGTTTGGTTTCGTTGACTTCTTTAATTTTAATTGCTGTTTTGTTCCGACTTGTAGTGGTGTATGAACTTGCACACTGTGAATGTAATTGCAATAAAAAGTTAATGCACGGGGAGGAGGGGAGCCTAACATTCCAAATTAGGCAGAAAGAGAAATAACTCGGGGATAAAAACAGCTGTTCTCCAAATGCGGCAAACATAGGTCCATAAAAGCCCACAAACTATACGAGCGACGTTTCAACTGAGACAAGATTCAAGTTAGAGACCACCAAAATAGAAATCAACCAAAAAACCTTCATAGTTATCATGTAATGTAAACTGCGATTGAGGTCAGACATTTAAAAAAAAAATTCTTTCTTTAATTACAGATGTGTGTCCTGAGACTTATTCATGTTATTCAGTCCGTTGAGAAAATTGAGAAAATTCTACATTCCCAAAGCACTAAAGAATTCTCCTCATTGGAAGGAAACAGGTAAAAATAAATAAATAAATAATTATTAAAAAGTAAATATTCACTTTTGCTGGTGAGATTAATTTTGTAGTATTGTTGTACTGGAATATACAAACAGTAGGTTTCATCTTTAGAAGGTAACTCTGTGATGGCATGAGTGACTATCAGTTTAATACTTTTCTCAGGTTTAGTCTTCTGCAGATTTATTGTTCACAGAACACACAACTCAGCCTCCAAAGTTCTAAATTATTTGAGGTCAACCCGGTGATAATAGGTACTTTTTTGAAATTAGCTTGCTGTATTCTACCCCCGCAAAAAGTCAATAATTTCATCGAGTCTGATGTACTTTCTTCAGTCCTGCAGAGCCACAGTTTATTTCAATGTTATTTGGAAGTAAAATGTGAAATAGCTCTTCTGGTTTTCTCTGCTTATATATAAATGAAAGGACCAATGCCAGAATAGCCTGAGGCAGGCAAGCCACACAGGTAGTTACTTCTGGCAGAAGAAAACTTTTGTGACGACTGCCAGTCAGGCTCCCAAGTTTTATTTAACAACTTCATGGAAAGTATCCTCTCCCTCTGGAATGGAGAGGAATGCAAGATTTGTTTCTGCCAGTTCTGAAACGGATGCACCAGCTATGCACTTGAAAGTGTTCACCTGGATGCAAATGAAGTGCAGCTTACCGTGGAGGAAAAAGACAGTTTCATGTACTCATTTGAATGTGAAGCTGTCTCTGGTACTCTTCAGTTCTGTGTGCTAGACCGTGTGGTAATGAATGGGGGGAGATGAGCAAAAGAATAGATTAATATCTAGAGGGACAAAGCATATGCCGACCTTTTCCGGCAAGTTGAGGCACTTTGCAGAATCAAGTTTGGAAGCAAGATTGTACTTGAGTGGCTCCAAATTTAGGGTAATTATCGGCATTATATAGAAGCGAGAAGGGTAGGACTGTTTCTCCAGAGATGACTGTCATTAATTTTTCCCACGTGAAGGGAAGGGAAATAAGAAACAAATCTGGATGCTGAAGAGCTCTTACCACAGTTGCTCATCTTTCTAAAACTGACTTTTCATGTGACAAGAAGCAACACCATCTCTTAGAAAATGGTGCTCTATACTGCTGCGGCCCGATCTCACAGCTTCTGCGTCGTCCATTTCCTGACTATCTAGATACAAAACAATTCTAATAGTGTAATCTCTTTCTTCCAGATTATTATTGCATGACTGCAATAGTACCTTTATAATTTGAATAACAAAAATTTAGACTAAACCACAAAAATTTGGGAAGAGTATTATCTTTCTGCCTCAAATAAAAGGGAGTTGATTTGAAAGAGTCTTACTGTGTAGTCTCATTTTTGCGTGTATCATCTCTGTTCCAGCCCACTTTTAACCGGACAGGTTTTAGAGAGAATTGCTACAGAATTTAACCAGCTACAATTTCATGCAGTCCAAAGCAAAGGAATGCAGCTTTTGGACAAAGTGAGACCAGTAAGTATTGCACGATAGTCACCTTAACACTCATGGGATGAAGCTAAGCCGTATAATTAGCAGACAAATGTCTATATCCATAGAGTTTTATTAAATTATTTTTGGGGGGAAATGAGTTTCAAGAAGGTTTTTTTTATCGTTTGACTAGAAGTATTGTTTCCTCTGAATGCTTATGCTTTGTTCCCTAACTTTGTTAGGATAAATAACTTAGGATAAGAGTAGGAAATGAATGTATGAATACAGATGTATTCTTGTCAGCCTAACACATCTTGCATTTTGTCTGCTTGTTGCTGGTGAGGCCAGGTTCTAGAGGTTCATGTTGTGTTTTTGTAGCTGCCCTGTACAGACCAGAAAATAAATGATGGAGTGAGCCTACAGAGGGACTGCCTTGAATTTATTCAAGTTTATCTTTGGTGATGTTTGTTGCCAAACTCTGTGTATCCAAGCCAGGAGGCTCATCTCTTTTTGGTAACTGTCTACTGTAAAAGATGAATAAAAGATGAATCAGTGCTGCTTTTTCCCCCTGCTCCCCCGCCCTTCTCCCTTCCCTATTCATTCATTGGCGAGAGGAAACTAGGGAAGAGTAGTGCTTAAGGGTAGGCAGTATCAATATTGTGGAAAAGAGATGGAGTAATGCTTTGAGCAGATTAGCATGGAAGCTGTCATCCTTGATGGCTTTCTGAGCGAGGTAGATGCTTCATTGTTCTAGTTTTTCCTTGTGTGCGTATGACTCTTGACAATCTAAAACTTGTTTCAGTTGAAGACTTTGACAGTACTATTTTGATTTATGAACAGTTCACAAGACTGTCCTGGCCACTGATTTATTGACTATGGAGGATACCAGGAATAAGTGTGAGCAATAGAGTAGTACTTATGGTGGGAGGACCCTTGATGTTTCCCCGCTGTGTTACTTCCTTAATGACACTCACCAGGGCTTCTGTCCTGTAACTGTTGCTGCTAAGGAATAATCAGATCATAATTTTCATGACTAGTAAGCAGTTGGGTTACTGACTTCAGATGTACAGACTGGAGTCCGTGATGATTTAAGAACAAAAATATCGCATTAGGATGGATGGACACAATGTCACATACAAAAAAGCAGAGAGAAGATGTGACTGATTAAACTGGTAGCTCAACTGTGACTAAACTGGTGTGTGATACTGAACTTGTTTCAAATACAGAATTCTAATGAAATGTCACAGGCCAGAGCTGTATCTGTAGATAGTGTAGCAATGAGCGGAGGAGATTTTGCAGGAGATCAGGAAAAATGGTTAGCAGACCAGGGTATTTGTTGATGGAAGCAGCTGTTTGGCAGAAACCAGAAGCAATATAATGGCCTGTCACTTTTTGCCAGTGTAATTCAACGTTTTTGTTTGCAGTAATGTGACAAGTAGCGCTGGGAACACACTGTTACTTTAGACTTTGACCCTGAGGGATAAATGCTACAGTTGTTATCTCTGGTAACTTATGGAAACGCTTTTGTGCTTTAATGTAGAGTGGTGCACAGAGAACAGTTAAGGTCCCACTTCTACTGAAGAAATAGGACAATAAGTTACCGGGTAACTTTCAACATAAATACAAAAAAGTAATCATTTTCCTCTATAACTTATTATAATAAATACTATTTTAAATGGCACCTGTAACCCTTTAGCTTGTTTTAACGTTCACTTAGTAGTGACAGGTATCACGACTTGCGTACCTTTCAATTGAAAATTGAAACCTGCAATTAGTTATTTCCAAAATACTTTACTTCAATGGTGATGGCAGTGCTTTGCGTATGTGTGTTGGGAGGGGGATTGATTTTTTTTTTTTTAAATGTTTTTTAACTACGTTTTGTTTTCCTTCCTAGCGTATAGCCGGAATAACGGCTATGTTGCAGCAGTCTCTGGAAGGACTGCTCTTGGAAGGCCTGCAGACTTCAAATGTTGACATAATACGTCACTGTCTTCGCACTTATGCAACTATTGACAAAACACGAGATGCAGAGGCATTAGTTGGTCAAGTGCTTGTAAAACCTTATGTAGATGAGGTAAGATAAAATCAAAAATACTAGGAAAATTAATTGACTTGGAAGCATGTTTATTTTTCCTAATATTCTCCAGCTATGATTAGCAGCTTTAAATAGCTTTGTACAATTTTGAACCCTAACATAATCTCCATGTATTTGTTCGTATTTAAGGAAAGACGATGGAGAAATTCTGTATTTGTCTGCCTCCAATTTTGGTTATATCCAGTTAGGATTCTTGTTACCTACATCATGTATTTCTTTGAAGAAGAATTAAAAAAAAAACAAACTTAAAAGATGCAAGATGTGATTAAAATAAAAACACAATTTACTCTGAACTGGTGCATGTCTGTGGGAATTGGATCAGGTCTTGGATGTGCCTTTCCCTCTGTCTGACTCTGTACTAGCCAAATGCAGAGAAAAAAGTGCTTAGTGCAACATCCTGTTCTTTCCATTGTGTGAAGAAAGGAGTTTATGCTGTTCCAAGCTGTACCAGGACTTTTGCAGGAGATGGACAAGTGTGTGTTTGGGAAACATTTGCTGTTCTGTGGGAGGAAAAAATCTGTCAGATGGCCAGAATCAGTTCATGAGAAAGTCGTTATAGGAGGCCACTAGTTTTAAGCTAGGCCAGTCACAAAGTATTGATTGAGTTTTCTGAAACTAGGGTATTTTCTGCTAATTCTCTTGACTGTGCAATTCTTGCTGTGCTGCTACCTATAAAATGATTTCTAGCCGCCTTGTAGCCTTGTTTGTTCTTGCCGTTTCTTCTGCCCTGAACTGTTGTTGATAACTAGCGTACGCTACTTTTCTTTTTGTTGTAGCTGATGATAACATAATCCTGGGAGATGTCCTAGAGTTAGCAATGTAGAGAAAATACTTCTCCCTACCAGTGAAGGTTCTGTAGTTGAGCGTGTAATATTTTGTCAGAGGTTTTTCTCTACCCTAGGTGTAGGAGTTCCTTTTCTCAGCCCTGTTTTTCGACCCAATACCCCCCACCTCCAAAAAACAAAAAAGGTTCATCAGGTAGCCTGCCACAAAAGCGTAGCAGTCAGCAGGTCAGTGCAGCTCCATTGTCCTGGTCTGCATCACCTGCAGTTGCCATATAATATTTTTATGAGCCTACAATTATATCATGGTAAACCAAGTTTCAAGCTTCTAGTGAAGAAAATAAAGATGCATTTTTAAAGATCTTTGATACTCTGCTCTGTTTGAAATAACCAGGTAACAGAAGTTTGTTGTGGTTTTAATGAATGCCCTGAAGTGGTGTTGCCATAATATGCAAACTTTTTTTTGGCCCTTTAAGAAGAGATTGGCACTAAATGTTGACATGTTCATCATCAGTGTGTTGGAAATTCTGTCCAGTTCAGGTAATGACTGCATACCATTTCAGAGATATCTGTTCCCTAATGAGATCTGAATCACTACCCCTTTACCACATAATTTCTAGTGCTGATTGCCCTACTGCAGGCAGTTTCTTTGACTTTCACTGGATTATGAGAGTATTTTGTAAGTGTGTTAAATTCTCTGTCCTTATATAGCAAGTTATGTTAGGCCAGTGTCTGGGCAGGGAAGTTACTGCGCTAAAACTAGTGTGATGAACCTTTCAGCAGTGTTAATTATGACAGATGGTGCAAAGCTTTCACTATTGTGTCTGTAAGGAGGAAAATATTAATGCACAAGCGTTGTCTTGTGTGTTTGTGATTGAACATACACACTTGTTTGAAAATCTGCATGTTACTAGAAAGCAGCATAGATAGATCTACTCCCTCTCGTCATTGCCTGTGCAATACAAAGCACTTCTTAGTGTCAGTGCTGAGTTACTCTATTCATGTATCTTTACTTTCTCTCTCTCTCTCTTTTTTTTTTTTAAACTGATAGCACTCTTTAAGTAGAGATACTTAATAACGTTCTCTTTGCTCAGTAAACCTCTGAATGAGAACCACGGTACGATGTTAGGTGTTCTTTTCTTTCTCTACTTTCAGAATATTTAAAGCAATTTGTTCCTTACTGGTATCTTACAAAAGATGAGGCAGCTTAAAGTATAGAGCTAATGCTTTTATTAAGACCCATAAAAGTAACGCGAACATTGTTTCCGAAAGTATCGAATATATTCCTTTAGGCTGTAATGCAGTTCCTTTTTCTTAGGCTGATGTGCCTTTCTGAACGTAAATGCAGAAGTGACATTAAGGTATTTGCTTTGCTTTTTTTTTTTTTTTTAAATTTATTTAGTGGCTGTTTGCCATGTAGTGTTCCCAGCCAAGCCAAGTATAGAGTTAATCTGTATAAACCTTGCTGAAGGATTTGCTTTCTAAATCAAGATAGGCAAAAGAAATTACTATTCCCCCCCACCCCACCTCCCATCAGGATTTTACCCTTTTTCCACCCGCACGCACTTCAGGAACTGAGAATTGGAATCGTTACCTTTCTCTTTCCTTTCTTTTCCTTCTCAGTGAATAAATAGTCTGTTTTCTGATAAAGCCTGAGCTGTATGCCGTTGTCTATAGGCCGCTGCTTTTCTGCTGTAAAGAAGGAAGCATCTAAAAGTGTTCTGTTTTTGCTTTGTATGTGTGTACATTTAGAAAGCAAAAGCAGCTTCTGCCTTTTGGATGGGAGAGGGAGTAGAACTGTCACCTTCCCCCTTAAGAACAGACTTCCTTTGGGTGCCTGCTAATACTGTAGCAGCTGGTACAGTGGGGGACGGATGGGATCCTCCCATCTTGATTTCTCCAGTACCTATTTGTTCCCCACCTCTGCACCATTCTGCTTGTTGTAGCTGAAGGCAAAAATGTTCAAACAGATGAAAAATACCAAGAAATTGTACTTTTCCAGCATTGTCTACCTACTGCCTGACTTCTGTTTGTGGTGGAGGCTCTCTTTTCACAGGGCTTGATGTACCATCCTGTCAAAGTGCATTGCTAGCTGTATGAAAGTCTCAGCATCACCACAGAAGATTCTTGGCTATTGGCTTATCTGCGCTTCCGATTGGACCAATTAACTCTAAATTTAAGGAAGTTTTTGATTTTATTCTGAGGTTAGGTTGGACTGGCTAATACCAGTCACCGATTAACCTTTACAGACTGTTTCAGATGATAGTGATGTGTGCTGTGGGTAGGGAGCCAGGTGCAGTAGCTAACGTTTAAAAGGAGGAAGCCCGTTCCCATTTGGTGGTCAGTCATGGCAGTTAGTGCTGCATGAAGGAAAACAATAATTCAAGTTGGCAAGCTTGAATTCTGTGTTATAGTTTGGAAACTATAATACAGAAAAGTGATGTAACTGAGTATTGCAGTCTTTGGGGTTATAGTATTAGTTTTGAATAAACTGTGAATCTTGCATTCCTATATTTCATATTCACTTTTCTGTGATTAACATTCAACTCTTCCCGGCAGGTGATTGTGGAACAGTACGTTCAGTCTCATCCTAATGGCCTTCAGGCTATGTACAATAAACTATTGGAGTTTGTTCCGCATCATTGCCGCCTCCTGCGTGAAGTAACAGGAGGAGCTATTTCAAGGTAAATATCTTGCTGTTTGTTTCAGTTGCAGTTAAAAGTTATGGTAAATATCACATACTTAGGAAATGACTTGCAGAATTACGTCCTGTGCACAGCTGACTTACCTGGCGATTCATAGTCGAGGTTGACTTCTCATGTCCGTGAGTGGTGCTGGGTGGTTTCTTGGTGCTGGGACCCACGACTTGAGAAGGGGGAAAGAAAGAATCCTGTATTTCAGTAGTAAAACTGACTACTGTTCACAGTAGAACGTGGCATGTCTTTTATTCTTTTATTTTTTTAAATCAAGGAAAGCAGAAACATGACTGTGCACTTCATCCAAGGGCATAACAAAGCTATTGGAAAATAAGTTCAAAAGTTCCTGGGTTGTCAGCATACATTACAATTTAAAAAAAAAAAAAAAAAAAAAGTGGAGATGGTCCCCAAAGGTCTGACTGGTTTATTGCATGTACTAGAACTGCAGGTTTAGTTGATTTGTATAGTACTTCCATTATCTGCTCAAAGTGCTTAATTCCTTTTGCAATTAAGTTGCCTGTTTTGAAGTTTACATAATTCAGGTCTCCTCAGTTATATCCACTTATTCATCTGTCCACAGGCTGGTTAATATAGTAGACTGCTGTAATTAGCAGAACGATGGGTGTAGCCCCTAGGGACTGCAGAACTGCTTTTCTAATTAGTCATCCATTGCTGAGCTTCCAGTGATTCTAAATTTTACTGACATTTCAATTCTTTTAATCCTTCAGCAAATGTTAATCTTTCTTCTTAGTAATGGAATGATAATGGTTTGTACTGTAGTGCACTGAACTGGAGTTAGGTGCTTGTGTCTTTTCTGCTCTCAATTTATAAACTTCCACTGTCAAGGTAACTTTTAATCTTTCTTGGAAGCACAAAATCCTACGTGAATACAACTTAGAAGAATTATAAGAGAGTTTTGTTTCCATCGCATTACTCCCACTTGGTATCTCTGAAGTCTGGATCTGTTAACTCCTACTTTCACTTGCACATTTGCAAGTTTTAACAGCTGAAAAGTACTTATTTTCCAAAACACACTTGCAAAATAAAGAGTACCTCATTAAAATTTGAAAACACTTTTGGAATTGTGAAAATACCTTGCATTTGATGAGACTGGGATGAAATGTAAAACTTGGAAGGAAGAACAGTTTAAGCAAGTCAACATACCTAAAAAAAGCTTAATTACATTTTGTCTAATTCAGTCCTTGTCTTTTAGTTATCACTACCTCCGAATAGAAGCCTAGCAGTGAAATTTAACCTCGGAATAATTGCAATTTTATTTCAGTGAAAAAGCAAATATTGTTCCCGGATATGATTTCTTAGTCAATTCAGTGTGGCCAGAAATAGTACGCGGTTTAGAAGAGAAATTGCCATCACTGTTTAACCCTGGAAACCCAGATGTGTTTCATGAGGTAATTAATTTTAATTTGTTTCATTTGTCATTCCTTCAGCACACAGAAGAACTGAATGAGTCATATTCTCTAGCTTTTTTCCCCCTTGCTGCTTATGTGTAAGTTCATGTTGTTGCATGTTTCAGAGGAAACTATCTCACATCACTTGATATAGATTTCATAGGAGTTGATTCTTCCATCAAATGTGTCTGCAGAGCTCATACAGAAGTTATTAGAAGTCATTTAGTCATGCGAATTTAGCCTTAATATTTGCTTTGTTGTTGTAGAATTGCTACATAAATGAAGGCAGGAGCAGATGACTCCAGTGTTTGTTCAAGACTGGAACTTCTGTATAGGAAGGGCTGTCATGTTGATTAAATATCTGGGTAACAGCTTGTGCTGTACTGTTGAAAAATTAAGAAATATTCTTTGTCTCATTTGCTTGTTTTAGCCTTTGCACTCTTTCAGCACCGCAGGTGATGTTATAACTAGAAATGCAACAGAAGGCAACTGAAAGAACCAAAATAGTTGGAGGCAATGTGTGAGAAGGTTTAGAAGACAAAAGAACTGTTTTCTTTCATATCACAAACCGTATGAGACAAGGTTGTATTATAAAATGAATTTTAAGTGCTTGCCGCTCGTGTGTTCTCATGTTTGAGAACTGAGTTGCTCTGCCTCTAAAAGATGGTCTGTTACTAGTGTTGAAACAGATTGCTCAGTCTAGTATGAAGATTGACTCTGGCAGTACTTTATTAAAACGTCACAAAGTAGAAAACATGAGCTTTCTGCTTTTCTTCATGTGCTCTTTGTCCGTATTTAACCGTGATTAATGAAATACTTGGATTTTTTTTTCTTTTCTTTGCAACTTGATTTGTTATTAGTGTGAAACATTTTCTTTTCAAGTTGGAGATGTCAGGCAATGATAAATTGTCTGAAGGAAGGCATAGTAGACAGGTGAGGACAAATAGTTTAGGGAAATGTTAAATAGATTGCTAGTGAAGGTTCATGGGGTAAATCCCTTTTCCTGTGTTCATGCAAAACTGTCTTTGCTAAATATGTAGCTTCTGCCTTTGACTTCTAAGACCTCTTCTGTGCCGATAGAGTGACTCATTGAAGGCAGGCAAGCATGAGACTGAATGTTTGCGGGGTTGGATCTAACAAGAAGCAAACAGAAAAGATGTTAGAGAAATTTCCAGTAAAGTTATAGCAATGACACTGTAGGTTTTCTAAATGAGAATACTTCTCCGTTTCCTATAAAGCATCAGTCACTCTTGCAGCTTTTCCCTAATGCACTGCATACCACAAGTTGTGAGCTGCGCTGTGCTTTTGTCCTCTGTGCTGCTTGGTTCACATAAGAAAAATGTCTCTTATCTTCACAAGAGCTGAGCTTACTGTTTTATATGAACTATTTTTAAAAAGGCTGTCATCTTGTATTAAGCTGATACTGACTAACAGTGCCACTGTGTTTTTAAAAACCAACCCCCCACCCAAACACCTCTTGACCTTCAATTGCGTCATGTAGTGAATCTGAAGTGCCTTCCAGGCTACTTTTGACTACTTTAATGATTTGACTCTGAATCACTTACGTATTTTATCTAAAATAAAAAAAAACCCAATAAGTTGAAACGTCAAGTGTCAAAATGCTATTAAGTCCATGTAAAGCCTAACAGGAGTAGTTGTGAATCAAGAAAAACAACAAAAGAGAAAAGTTTCAAACAGTTTCCTGCATTGCTAGTAATCCAAAGAATGCAGCACAGATTTCAGAAAGTGGTCTTGTAATTCTGTTTTCTGCATCCCCCCCTGCCCCAGCTAATTTAAAAAAAAAAAAAGTCATCTTATCCAGGTTTCTTTGGTTATGTTGTATATGCATATTGTATAGGTTTAATGCTGAAAACTTGGAGTATGCAGTGTTTATCTGTTAAGGGGTTTTTACATGTAGAGGGAAGAGATGGAAGAAAAAAAAATATGTTTATGTATATTTTTAAATCATCCAATAAAGCACAGACTGGCAATCATTAAGTACGTAAGTCGAAATAGGTCTCTGCTTGGGTGGAGTTTGTTTTTATTTTTTTGTTGCTTAAACTATTTCAGGTTATTGTGCCCTTATTTCTAAGTCAGATTCATACCTGTAGAAGCCTTTGAAAATAATACTGCTTTTATGCCTAAATATCGATTTGAGACTGTAAGTTTACATTCCTGTGTTTGAAAATTGCTGCATTTTGTTTCCTGCTTTAGCTTATCCTAAATAACTTTGTGGAGTCAACAAGAAAATCCTAGAAGCTGTAATGGGAACCAGTCTTGCAGTTCCCTACTCTTGGACATAATGTTATTGATAACTCAGAGATATTTATCTAGTTATCTTCTATTTTTGAAAGTGGTAGGTCTTTTCAGAGTAGTTGGTTTATATCTCTGACTAATACTTAAGGCAGCAGAGCAATAATGACTTGTTTGCCTTTCTGGAGTACTGGATGTATTATCTAAGAAAGGAGGCCTGACAAAGCACTAAGCTGTCATTCATTCTGCATTTAGCTGCCATAGCTGTTACGGGTCGGTTGTGTTGCAAATAAAGCTACATTGGAACAGAAGTAGTTACTTAAAAGCTTTTGTGCAATTTCCAAAGAATCTTCTTCACACACTGAAACTGCCATGTCAAAAGAAATAAGTGCTATAATTTACTTCTGTAAGCTTCTGTTAAGGGTAACTGAGGTATGCAGCACCAAAGCTTCTTGCCTGTGTACGTGCAGGTCCTGTGGTGCCAGAACTGAGAGCAGAAAGTGTAAGCAGCCACTCTGGGCCTGCTCCTGGCAATGTTTTACTGCTTCAGAAGAGAGTCTCGGTACCTCCTTCAAATAGTGCTGTGCATTGTGCTAAAAGCCTGCAGTCCTGCTGCTGCCTTTACTGTAGCAGTCGAAAACGCTGTGATTCACTCAGGCTTATTTCCTAAAGTCAGCAATGGCCTAATAAGCACATTCTAATTTCATTGAGACATGTACAATTTGTTTTAAGTCTGTATTTTTTTTTTCTTGAAACTTACATATAATAAGCTACGTTTTTGACTCCTTGATTTATACAGGCTTCATGTTGTGTTAAGTCTCTTGTGTGAAACCAAATTTTTATTTACTATTTGGCTTCTCTTTTTAACTCAAGTGTTTTCTGTCTTTCTGCTTCACAAAACACTGCCAATGATTTGATTTATTTTTTATTTCATTGCTGTTTAGGTATTAATAACTTACTGTTGAGAATAAGCCCAAAGTGCATTTGGGGATTAGTGTAATTCCTCTTTGCTTGCAAGAATGCTAATGCTATTTCTAAACATCTAGTGAAAAGTATACAACTGAATGGGTTAGGTTATGTAGAGTTGTTCTAAATCCTGTTGTAAATATTTAGGATTTGCAGAAACATCCATCTTTGGAGAACCAGTTGTCGAACTGCCCATAATACAGATCCTATATAATAGGACAGAAATCATGCTTTCATTCTCTTGTGTGTTTGGTTATGTATATTTTTGTTATGTTTTTGTCCCTGATTTATTTCCATTTGTTGTATTCTTTTACCTCAAATTTGCTGTAACTGGCTTGTTCCTACTACTGTGCACCACTGTTTTGTCTTCTCTTCCTCCCCTTCTCCCTTTCCCCGGGCTGTTGTTTTGGTTCAGAAATATTGATGCACCTCTGAACTGGCAGAGCTGCTAATGCAGACAACTTTTGTGCAGAACACTTCTAAAAATCATAACAGTGAGTTAATGTGACTTGGTCCATTAACCGGTTTTCCTTATCATAGAGTGAGTACCTACTGGATAGTTGGTTTGGTTTCACTGCAGTCCAGGGTTTTAGCCTCTTACAATTAGTTGATGGGGTACTGTCAGCCCACTCTTAATCTTGAGCTTAACTGTAGTCTGATACAGCAGTTCTGTTGAATGAATTGTGGTCTTCATTGTTTAATGGGACACTCCTAGTGATCAGAGTGCTCACTCTCTTTTATACAGAAGTACACTACTAGTATGGATTTTGTACGGAAATTTGAACGGCAGTGTGGCTCACAGGCCAGTGTGAAAAGATTAAGATCTCATCCTTCCTACCACAGTTTTAACAACAAATGGAATTTGCCTGTTTATTTTCAAATAAGGTTAGTATCTGGGGTTTTTTTGTTTCCTCTTTTAGAAGCAGAGTTCAGTCACAGCTAGCAGATCTGGCTTAGGATCAGATCTCCTCGTTGTTTCAAGTGCCATTTGTGAACAAAGCATAGGAGAAGTCAAAATACGAGAATATAATTACAAGGTCAGATAGCTGTTTTAAATATTTTTCAACAGTATAGCAAAATCAGAGCCAGCTACTCTTAAATATGTAATTTGCCACTACACTGAATTTGATATGCTAGTCATAAGACTTTCTGGAACAGATCTGGATAAGTTTCAAATTCTGTTTCTCCAATGTCCCTGGAACTAAACTGTATGTTGAATGATATTACTTGTGCAGATCCAGGGCAATACTTACTTTGAGGGCAAAAGCATAACTTTATATTTCTAAGAGTTTTTTCAGAGCTAGCTATGTTCCTCACCTCTCTTTTTGGTCTCACTGAATGTACCCACTGAAGTGCTGGGTCCTTTAGCCTTACCTTTCCAAAGATTGTCCTTTGATTCGCTTCCCTTGAGGAGCTAAGTCGTAAGTTTACTTTTCCAGCAGGTTTGACATAGTACACTTCACCTACAGGTAGTGTTATCTTGTAAGATCTTGTGGCTAGAAAGAGAGCAGAGAGACCCAAGACATCCCCACTTAAAATTCAAGTATTACTAGAATTAAAGGAAAGAAACAAAATTAAATGTACAACCTGATTTTTTGGAAAATCTAGTCTACACATCTGGTTTTAGGGCTGGTCAACAAGCCTCCAGGCAAGAAAGAGAACCGCCAATGTCTGCCATGACGAAAACGTGCTATGTGTCTATGAGCCTTCTGAGAATATCTAGACAGCATCATGCACACGAGCAGATTTCTCTGCTCTGAGAGTAACCCAGCAGTGTTAGTTGGGAATGTAATTGCGAGCACAGGCAGCTACAAGTTTCCTTCCCGGCTTCCTGTTCTGCACCTCTTTTAGTTTCTATCCCCATTACAGCAAAGATTCCTTGGTTAATGAATTACTTTGTTTTACAGTCCTGTATATTAAATTAATTTTTAATATGCTGCTTTTAGTTTTGAGCAAGCCAACCCGAGTACTGTATTGAGTGCCTGGACTGGGTTGTACCTTGATTATATCCCTTCAGTCTTGCAGTGTGGTCAATTGATACATTTTTCTCTGCTAGTAAAACCAGTTATAAGATTTTTCTTGCCCTTACTTCATAGTATCCAACCCATTTATTTATTCCACTGCATCTGTTTATGGGGTGGAACTGTATGTTGGATTACTGAAGTTGTCTGGGATTTAAAAAAAAAAAAAAAAGGGGGGGGGGGGGGGAAAAAGGAGAACTCCAAAAAACGGGAGGCAAAGAAATTAAGGTTTATTTTTCTTTACCCTGGAGCACTTTAGTGACCTGGTTTATTGCACGCTTCTGTAAATGGTTACAATGGAACAACTACAGCCACATTTATACAGTACACTGCTGCTGAAAAGTCCCATCCAGGAATCACAAGAGCACTGGAGCTAGTGCAAGATTAATGTGACGAGAGCAGTGTGTCACTGATTCAGTGGCTCAAGGCATCTTGTAGAGTGGGAGTCCCAATCTCCACTAACCTTTTTCTTTTTTTTTTCTTTTTTTTTTTTTTTTGCTGGCACAGCTGTTCCTGTGGCTGTGTAGTGAACCAGTTTGAGGAACTGATAACCTTGTGCAAAAAAAGACTGACTTTCAACTTTAAATCAATTTCTCCAAACCACTTTACTGTACAGATACTGATGCTGGCCCAAGGGAAAAGGCAGGAGAACTCACTACAGTAGCAGTGCTGAGTCTGCATGAACTAAAAGTGTCCATGGAACTGTAGCAATTATAAAGCTTTTAACAACAGATGTATATCTTTAGTAGGACTGTGAGTCTGCCCCTTTTATTTGAAAGTGCAACTTTTCTAATAAGTAGCCATTTGATCAAACATTGATACACTTGCTTGTAAAATTGAAATGGAGCTTCAGCTTATTCTTTCGGGTCAAAAATGTTTTTTCTCATTAGATATTTTGAGCTCTGGCTGATTTTAAAAAAAACTGCTTAAAATCATTTTCCATTAAGATTCCTGTAAATCTGAACAGTGCACTGTTTTCATAAATGGTTAGATAATAGCAGCAAGTTCAACTTTCACCATATCATTCCTATATATTGGAATCATCTGATGACTTCCAGAATTGCCTCTGAATTCTTTATTGCAGAAGTGTGGAAATAGTAAAACATGTTCATTTTGTATATCAAGGCAGCCTCTTCCTTTGAGGTATGTTAATATCCTCAAGTTAGGCAGGGTTTTTATTGAAGTATTAGCTCACTATGGCATTTACAGTTTGGGTTCCTGTTTTTTCAGTTACAGAAATGGCCCAGAACAAACCACCCTCTCACTGAAGCCTGTACAAACAGTCCTTTGAGGAGCAGATGGATGTACAGGCGTTTCTTCTGTAGCAGCGCTGGCACAAACAGCACCAGTAGCTCATTCCCTTGCCATTTCTTCCTTCAGTTATGTCAGCACAGCTGACTGCAGTGCTGTAGAGAGCCCCGTGTTAGGGTTTTTTGTGTGCTGTGTCCGTGTCCCCCCGAGACCCCCCCCCCCAAAAAAAAAAAAAAAAGAAAGAATCCTTCAGAAAATAAGACAGTGTGTGAATATCTGATTTGGTTCCCTGATCCTTTTCACCATATGACCTCAAACCTCTCCTGTGCCTGTGGAAGTGGTGCGCAGACAGGAATGAGAGTTCAGAGCCGCTTCAGGAATTCTTCTAGAACACCTGTAGTTGCTACCTGTTGGTGACAAGTCACGTTCGGTGAATGATGGGGGGAAGCTCCTGATGTCACTCGCAGATCGCTATTTGCAATACTTCTACTAGCAGTTCTGATAAGATGCATGTTAGTTTGAACAAGAAAAAACGGGGCCCCGGCTCTGATCTGGCAATGAGAATTAAGAGCCATGTGGGTTCATAACTAGTAAGTTTGATAGAGAGGCTTGCGGAGTAGCTGTGGTGCAGATAAAAGCAAAGAAGGGGGAGAAAATGACAAAGAACTTCTTATAGGGACGTTTAAAATGGTGGCTTTGTTTCAGTTTTGGGTGGAGAACTTAGAAGAATTTCATACATCTCTTAACAATTTTTAGATAAGTAAAATACTGGGTTATTTATCCAATACCTCTTGAAATATGGAAAATAGTTGGAGAATATTAACTTTTGCTTTTATACCTCAAAAACTGTTTGTTTTTGGAAGAGAGGTTTTAAAAAAAGAAAAAAGGTCAAGGCATCCTATGAGGAACTTTTTTTTTTTTTTAAATCAGGTGCAGAATTGTTTGCAGAACCTTGTGTCGCTGTTCACTGACAAACAGGTGGAAAGCTAAAGGCTCCGGTGTCTCATGACCTACCTGAAGGGCAGCTAAAGCAAATAGGAGACAATGTATTGACTTTTAGTGTAAAAGCAATATCACTTACCAAACAAAAAAAGAAAAAAGCTTTCCTCTACCTCCAGAAAAAGAAAAGCTGAAGGCTTGACAGTATCAGAATAAAAGCTCATAGACACTGCTTAGGGTTATAATTTTAATAGTTTCCCAGTATATAAGTTTTCTGTCTGTTTAATGTCAAAGGTTCTCTTTCACGTGTTTTTCAGTCCTGGTTCATGTGGAGTGAAAAAACACTTAAAGCTATTTGTGTATGTGTGTTGACATAGCATATGGGCTGAATACTGAAAAATGTTTAGACATCAATTTAAGCAATTCTTGATTTGTAATATTCAATGCTTTTTTTTTTCCTCTCTCAGATTTAGAGAGATAGCGGGGGCCTTAGAGGCAGCACTTTCAGACACACTAGAGGAAGCACCAGGTAAATTTTTTATTACAAAATCAGGAATTTCCTCTACTGTGAAGAAATAACCACTGATACTGAAGCCCTTTATTGTCTGCGTATCGAATATTTAGTAGTATGAATCCTGAGGGATCATGCAAGTTTTCTAGTAAGTTGATTAAATACTGTCTCATGATCACTTGATTTACCAAAATCAACCTGTTCCACAGCAACCATTGACACGTTTGTGGAACGTTCCCCTCAGCCCAAGAATTGGCATTTGGCGTCCTTTGAGTGGCAGCCAAAAGACTATGCTGTGTTATCGGGACAAATTTCTCTTAACTGATATGGAGCTATGCAGAGCGGGAAATGACTGTCTGTTGGCAGCACTTAGGCTTGCTGTCCTTTGTAGTGTTGGCGTCTGCCCCAGGAATGGAAATTGGTTTATTAGGAAATGAGGAAGTAGCACAGGAAGTAGTGGAGGAAAAGGATTAGAGTGGAAGAGGAAACTTAGTGTATTCATTAAAAATAGATAGCAATTGGAAAAGCCGTTACTTCAGTTAATGAGGTGAATGCCTATGAAGATGAAGGCAGCTAAGAGCAAAATATATGAGAGTGATATTTATATAAAATGTGTGTGTGTGTATATATCTGTGTATATATATGAAAAGTGCGTTGAACTTTTTAATGTCATTTGAGGAAAGCAGAATAAATCCTAATGGAGAAGAAATGCATAAATCCTGAAACTTCAAGATATTTATCTAGAACTTGCAGACACGTGGCTTAGCTCTCAAATTGTATGCTATAAAATGTTAGTGCCTGAACTGCTTAAAAGTATTTGTTTTAAATATGAATATTCCTACTGTGTTTTCAATAAATATTTCTAGTAGGTTCCTCAGAGGTATCTGTGACAGGAGCAGCAGTTCAGTGCTGGAGAGAATTACTGTTCTGATTGACAAATGCATGCAGTTAGCCAGCATACTGAAATGTTATTTAGCTAGCATGTCTTTATAAAAACCTGGTTATAAGACAGCCAGAAATTATCCTGGAAATGTTAACTCATAAAGTGGATTGTTTGGCTAAGTTATTTGTATGTTTTCTGTAGGCAGGTTCTCATTTGTTGCTTTTCTTTGCACAGCTATGGTGAGACTTAGCCGAGTTTGAAGTCCAAAGCGATGTGGAGCTAGTACTTTAAGAGTTTGTTTCAGACAATGCTTAATAAATCCTCTTTGCTGTTTTTGTGATAGTGTCTTTTTGAAAGACATATTTTAAGATAATGCAAATACATTGTGTTACATCTTTTAAAAATATGATTCAGAACTTGACCTTTGTTTCCTGATTATTTTTAGGTGACAGCTCGTATTGTCTTCTGGCCACTCACATGGTCTGGATGAGCCTTCAGAAGTGCTGGTCAGATCAGATGTTTTTGCCATTATTAGCACACCGTCTGTGGAAACTTAGTCTGCAAATTTTGGCACGCTACTCTGTGTTCATTAGTGAGGTAAGAGAACAACATGCTTACGCTTTTGATGATCGGTTATGTCCATCAGTAAGAGACTTTTTGGAACAAAAAAGGAAAAAACGTTTTTAAAATACTATATTCAAAACTCCAAAATGCTTAACAAGAACACTTTTAACCAGTCCATGATGTTTTCCTGAAAACTATCACTGCAAAACATGTTATTAACAAAGAACATTAATGCTGTTATGGTATTAAGATGTGATGTTTTCCAAAGCAGAGCCTCCATGTGTATCCAAAGCTGGCTCTGCCACAGAGAGTAGCCACGGGCTTGTGTTTTCTGTGTTTCTGCAGTGAGTAAGGTTGTGAAACTAAGCTGGGTTAAAACTAACCTTAAAAGAAGGGGGAGCTGGGGGGAGGATTAATCCAGATCGGTTGCTCTGTGTTCAGAATGTGAAACTGGAAGTTTCATGGGCAACTGACTCAAAATCGTAACTCTGTGCTCCTAAGCAGGAGACATTCTGATTTGTTCTTCTATTCCCTGCACCAAGCCATACAGTCTTGCCCCCTTCCCTGTGTCAGAATCCCAAAATAATAGAATAATTGGGTTGAAAGGGACTTCTGGAGGTCATCTAGTCCAAACTTTTTTGCTCAGAACAGGATCAGCTTAGATAAGGTGGTACAGAACCTTTTCCAGTCGAGTTCTGGGTGTATCCAAAGGTGGAGATTTCCTGGCCTTTCTGGGAAACCTGTTTTAGTGTCTGACCATTCTCAGGATGAAATATTTTTTTCCTTAAACCTCATCAGAATTTCCCTTGTTGCAGCTCGTGCCCGTTGCCTCTTATCCCATCACTGCACCTCAAAGAAAAGTCTGACTCTGTCTTCCCTGTACCTTCCCTTTCGGTAGCTGAAAACAGCAGTAAGATTTCCCTTTATCCCCCTCTCGAGAATGAAAAACCAGGTTCTCTCAGCTAAATCAGCCCATGAAAAGTATTGATAAGTACCAGAGCCACAACAAAGGTATTGAGTACAGCATGTGCCTGACAGCAAAGAGGGCTTGAGGAGATAGATGGGAGAAAGGGGTGGGACCTCATCATTTGACAGTGATGAGCGGTTACAGTTATTTGAGACTAAACAGTTGTTTGAGTGGCCACGCAGCCTGTGCCAGCGTGAGAGGAGAGGAGGATGAATGGCTGGGAGAGACTGAAACTGCTCCATTTGGTGGCTGTTGCCTTAGAAAGTGCTTGAAACTGTTGCCTTAGACAAATCTCTGAGCTTCTCCCAAAGGTGTTACGGTGGGACTGATGATTGTACTTGGATTCTCTGTTCTAACTGAAACGCTCTGGCAGTAGTGTTGTCTCCTTGGGAAATTAATTGACACAACCCACAGTAGTTTGGTTTTTTTTGGTGCTCCAGAGTATGAAAATGAACTGCATTTCTGCAAAGTGGGTCATAATCAAATTCTTGATCTTGCAAGTTTCTCCAGTATAATAGTTTAGTTGAATGCACAGGTGAAAAAGGCTCTTGGGCAAAACTGCCCTATAGTATAGTGATAAAAGCTGTAAATCATCCAACTCCTTAGTGCACCCACAGCTGTTTTATAAATAGCTTTACTTTTTATGTAAACTAGGAGTGCCAATACCCTTTGCAAGTGTTGCATTCTAATGAAGGAAACTTAGGAATCCTTTTTATGCTGTTTCTGTGTGTCCAGCTTTATCAGCCCATTTATCAGCCTATCTATTGTTAGTGTTCACACCTCAATTTGATGTTTCAGGTTTCTGTAAGGCCCATTTCCAGTGGGAATATGAAGGAAAGCAAAAGATCTATGACAGCTAGTAGAAAGGAATCTTCTGTAAACCTCAGTCCTAATGAGGACCATGGGAATGGGTCCAATCCAGAAACTCAGCCATTGCCTTCTGTATCCAGTACGCAGCTGGTATATGTTGCTGCAGATCTGGACAAACTCCAGGACCAGGTTTGTGTTTGTCACTTTACTCACAGAGGTTCTTCATTGATCTCTAAGCCTCTACTGCTTGGCATCTTGCTCAGTGCATTAGATTATTTAAGATAATGCATCTTAAATTTATTTTTTGACTTAAACGTTGAAATAGTCCAAGATAGAAACTAGCATGTGAAATACGGGGTCTATTCTCTGCTTAGATTGAGTGGTAGATTACAGAAAAATCAGTTCAGATGTTTAAATTCTTTATCAGTAGCTGCTAGACTCAGCCCCATTTGCTAGTGAAATCTCCTGTGTCTCAGAGCGTGGTGCAATATTCAGGTTTAATATTAGATTTTTATCCTTTAAATGTTTACTATTGTAATATTTGAGTTTCAGAAGGGTTTTATTTTCGTGATTTTTATTTTACTGTTGATCTAGAATGTCACAAAGCCCTGCTGCATGTATTTTCTTTTTTGATGAATAAGGCTGAAATTTCTGTAATTTTGGAAGTTACAAGTTGCATCTGAATGATGATATTCTGTTAATTCTAAATCATTTCCTCTGAGGGCTACGGTAAGGTAGGAAATAGAACATATTGCAATATCCATGGGAATAAAGTGCTTTCTGCTAATACTGGGTTCTCTTAAAGGCAGTAAAAGTTTAGAAAAGGTTGAACACAATAGTCTTGATGCACTGGAAATCTGCAGAATGTAGAAGTAATTCAAATGTGTTCATAACATGATTGTATCTGTGTTGTCTTTTTTTGGTTCAGATTCCTGACGTCTTAGAAATGATTAAACCAAAACTTGAAATGATTGGCTTCAAGAATATATCCTGTATTGCAGGTAAAGCTGAGAGGCTGACTTCAGTCTCTTCCCCCTTCCTCCCAAGTCCCCTCTGCCAACCAAATTTACAATTAAAAAAAAAATGAAATTGTAATTGTTTTGTTACTTAATGAAGCCTATGATAGTATTAAACTATTACCTAAAAAATATCTTGAACAGGAATGTCAAATCTGGAAAGCTTTTGACTAGAGTTGAGTGAGTCTGAAGTGCTGTTTTTGGATCCAAGCCCGAAGCTCATATGACGTGCAGTTAGATGTCTCAAGTCTTATGGTGTGGTCCTCCAAATGTCCACCAAGCCAAGCAGGAACCTAAATATTTAAACTACAATTCTTTATAGGTCCAGAGTTGCCACCACCTTGGCCGAGTTAGTTGGTCTCTTGAGCAGTTGCCAGAATACTTGCCAGTTTTGTAATCTAGAATAGTTGTAAGTTATATCTACAAACCAAGAGGTTTGGACCAGCTGACCTGTTCAAAGCATGCCCAGTCCAGTCTCCCTGGGCACCTCGGTACAGAGCTCCACAGCTGCAGCTGTCTCTTCTTTCTCTGGAGATAACTTGTCATTGTCCAGTGCTAGGAGGCTTCGGCAGGTAAAGGGAGACCTGGTTTCAGTGTCCTCAGACTGAGAAGGTTCATACCGTGTTTAAATTCCTGTTGTAAGGGAAGTGAGGAAGAAGTGGAGAGATGCTTTTCACTGTCCAGTTGAAACTAAAATATCCTACAGGAAGGAAAGATCTCTCTCTGGCCCTATGAATCATGCAAGCAGGAGAGTTATTAAATTTTGGTCGTTGAGTACCTGAACTTCAGAGGACGGGAGTTCCTGTCCTATATGTATGTGTGTGCGTATATATATATATTTTTTTTTAATCTGATCATGCTTAATGTTCAACACAGTCTGCCTTAATTGAGCTGGGCGGGTAGCTGGGTGAGTGAACTAGTCCCTGTCTCCACATATAGGCAGAAACTTTGTGCTGCCAATTTCACTTAAATTACTAAATTGGGATTATGGGTAGATGCCTAAGTCCATAAGAGAGGTAGGAGCTTGCACACATCCCCTACTCAGCATATGGTTTGTTGTGAATTTCAGCTTTAAAAGCTGCACGTGCTGTGATCACTCCATAGGGAATTTAGATACTTTGAAAAGGGATTTTACAAGCCCAGTTTCCTTGGTAGATCTGAGCCTTTGTGTTTCACACTCCTTGCCTGAATGGCGCCTTGCTCTCCCTTGCTTCCCTCCATTCCTTTTTCTGGCTGAGGAATGGTTGATAAGAGGACTTATTTTATGACTGGCATGTGTATATTTATTTATTAAGCATACTGTATTTGAGATTAGCAACCATCTAGGATAGTGAGTGAGGTCAGGATGGTGGTGGGGGCTCACAAAATTTGTTTATGTTGTGATTGGGCAGTTTAACTTCAGTTAAACTTCAGCATTTTTACTTCAATAGGAGCCTTGGAAGACTCAAAGGCTTCTTTATCAGCCTGTATGCCTACCTTGAATAACAGGATTATCCAGGATCTCAGTGAGTCCTCCTTCGCTTACCTGAAAAGTGCCCTGGAAGTTCCAAGACTGTATAGGAGAACCAATAAGGTCAGTACTGGTTGCAGGTGAAAAGGTAAATCTCTGAAAGGCCTATGCTAAGAACATTAACCAGGCAGTACATTTATGATTTCTTCCAGGCCTGTCTGTATGCGCTTACTGGTCAAGAAACCTATTTAGTAACTTGTACTAATTTACTATTTGCCTCTTTGAAAAGAAAAAGAATTATATTTTCAGAGTCTTAGATGGGGTACCAGTGATGAAGGCACAGGCTTGGGGCAGGAGGCAGGGCAAGGAGTAGAACTGTTGTTGTGGAGGAGAACACAGGTTATTGAGGGGAAAAAGTGTTCAGGATAACTTTTTTTCATGTTATACTTATATACCATAAGAAAGACGTGCTGCTGCTGAGTGGCAGGTGTTTTTTTTCAGCTACTACTTTCTTACCACCTCTTAATTTGCAGAGGTAGGGGAACGGCAGTGGCACGCTTCTGCCTGCTGCGTCAAGACTCTTGCCAGGTAGCTCATTTGATTCAATTCGTGAAACGTGTTGCACAGAAGGAACAAGATGAGAAAGACTTTTTTGAGAAACAACACAAAACATAATGATGGAATAAGGTACCAAAGACCATTGTAGGACAGATTAGCTTGTTCTGGTAACTGCTGTGGCTTGTCTTTGTCAATCTGCCCAGCTGTGATGGTAGCAAGTGTGGTATCATTCAGGCAACGTATGAAAAATTGAGTAATGGGGACCATAAACTATTACACTGCTGCCTGGTGTGAACACAGAAGGCAGGCAGTGAAATGGGCAAGGGCATACTTTTTCTCCCATCTGCGCTTCTCACTTCCACTCTCTTCCTGGTTTGGTGCTGGTGGGTGGTTGAATTTTTTTTTGTGTGTTTGTTTTTTCTGCCTGTGCTCACCAAAATAAAAAACACTTTACTGGGTATCATGAAGAAGCTGCTGCCAACCATGCTGTACCTGTTCAACAAGTAAATAGCTCCAAAATTTTCTATTAAGTCTGTTTCTTTCAAGAGTATTACATTTTCTTTGGGTGGTAAGCATCTAGTGTCAGCTGGAAGAGAAACTGCTTCTAAAAGTAGTTTATCGCTTCAGTTTATTACTAGGGTTTCTCACTGTCTTATTTTCAAGGATATACTTAATCAAAATATTGAAGAAACAGCCCTATGGCTAGTGATAATTAATCTTTGCAATGATGAGATTGTTCTGTCTTCAACAGGGAATTTTTTTACTTAAATTTTCGTTAAGGAAGGAAAATAAAATATGTAAGTTGAGGGAGAAAAAAATACCATACCTGCCTTAGCTCAGCTCTCTCCAAGCAAACTTTACATAGTGATATAGTGGATTGCCATGAGCTCCCCATTATCCATGGGCTGTTTAACCAAGTAGTGGGTTTCTGTGCCAAAATAGAGATACAGGAGCTAGCTGTCTTCAGTTCAGTAGAATTATTAACTTGGGCTCTGAGCTCTATGAATACGAGTGCATCTTGGCCATCAGTCTAACTGACTTTGTGGCATGAAGCCTGAACTAACAAACAGTGCAGTGCCAACTCGGATTTCTCAACAACATGCTCCTGTACTAGGAGGACTAATTCCATGAACCTCCACTATGCAGGGTCTGAGAGGAAGCCTTTGCAGTATGCACAGTGCTGGACATCACAGTGTAAAGGCAGCCACATGGATCTGCGTGAAAGAGTCTGGATCCAGCAGAGCTGGTATTTTAAATGGAGTTAGCAACTACTGTTGACAGCCTGAACCCTTGCAAAACTGCTTACCTACCTCTGCATCCTACTTGCCTGACTCTGGGCTCGGGGAAGGCTTTCTCTCTGGTCCAGGGTAGCACAAAGTCATCCCTTGGATCTGATGCACCTCAACAAGTGCATCATGCCCTGACCCCAGTCATGGTGCAGGCCCTCCAGTGGATCTGCAGGGAATAAAGAGGGGGGGTATGAGCTGGTGACATGTTACTGCTTCATCCAGGGTCTGTATTGGCTGGGATTTCCCAGCCCTGTAACGCTATATGGTTATATTTCACATTCGCTATAGATAAGGGACAATAGGCCGTATTTTGTTGCCCAGTGTTTTTAAATGAAGCTGAACATCGGTCACTCATGTTAGTCTGGCCAACGCTTGAAAAGCAACCTCTGTATTTTGAAAAGTACAGCTCTGTCCTCTGCCTGTTTGTATTTATTAGGCTACATGTTGACCTGAATTAGATCTTTCAGATGAGTGTGGGGTTTGGGGTTTTTTTGTTTTGTTTTGTTTGTTTTTTAAGATCTGCTGTATGGTCACCTAAATTAATGGGAGAAACTTTGTTAAAACTTTTGAAGACGAACGCAAAGTAAAGGCCAGAAGTCAGAATACTCTGTGCTGTCCTGTTGTAAATAGATGATCTCAGATATGTTTGTAATGTAATCGTTTGAAATAAGTTGTGTCAAAAACCTGCAGTTCTATTATTTGACCTGAGTTTGGAAGCACCAGCTGTTTGTGTTGCCCAATACTTGCCATAATAGCTTCTGTATCATGAATCAGCTGTGCAAAGATGCTTGCACTTGGCTGAGTTCTGAGATTTGAAACTCTGGGAAGTTAATGAGTTATTTGAGCTGTTAAGGATTCCACGTACCCTGGGTATGTTCTGTTCCTTTGCGGTGGATGAGGTTCATCCAAGCCACATATGGGTCATCCCTGGAGAGAACAAGCCTTCTGCCTCCCAGGGTTAGCTCAGAAGACAGTGAAAGGATATTAGAGTTATCCCAAGAGCGTTCTGGAAAGTATGCTGAGGGAAAAGGATGGTGTTGAGAGTAAAGGGGACAATATCTGCAGTTTAATGAAGTATAATATGAAATAGTAGGTATTTTAACAAATATATAGTAGGCTGTTGAGGACACAGAGCTCAGTATGAGCAGAAGGTGCAAAGCATGCTCAGGGTCATGCCCTAATAATAAGAGTGGCAATAAGAGTGGCTGGCTGGCACATGCATATCTTCAAAAGCTTTTGTCATTTTGAATGTTGTTTCATAGTATATCCCATAGGATATCACTACTGAATGACTTTGTTATAGTCTTTCCTATGTATGAAGACCTCGTCATTGATTTGTTGTGAATAGGGTGTCTATTTCTTGGCTTAGAGGCAGGCTTAGCATTATAGATATGTGCTACAGTTGGTGTTGATGTTTTTGGTAAGTTATTTACCTGTTCTTTTCCCACTTTATTTCCCTTTCATTTCTCAGGAGGTGCCAACCAAAGCTTCGCCATATGTTGACAGTGCTCTTAAGCCCTTCTACCGACTGCAGAATGAATGCAAAGATCTATTGAAGCAGCCTATGATTTATCAGTGGTTGGAAGGTGCTCTCTCTGAAAGCACACAGAAGTAAGAGACCCATACAGAACACTCTTTGTGTGAATTAAAAACCTCACTATCCATTGAGTAGTCATAGAACGAAGAAAAAAACCCCTATGAAGTAATGCAGTTGTGAAGAAAAACAAGAACCTGCCCCTCTTTTAGCATGGTACAGTCCTTTAGAGTTACTCTGATGTAGTATATTTGGCAGATGAAAATAAGGTCTGGAAATCCAGAGAACAGAATCAGATCTGTGCAAACCAAGAGACTGCAGATAGGGCACTGGAAAATTGTTTAGCATTGTGTTGCAGCAGTGAACTAAAAACTTGCATTTTGTTTCAGAAGTGACTAAAGTCCTTAGCCTCAAGTTATTTTCAGTGAATAATGGTCAAATTTTCAAGAACCTTGAGCTCTGCTTTTCTCTGACTCTTTTTACCATGTGTAATGATTACTGTACCTCCTACTACTTTTTTTTTTTTTTTCCTTTTTAAAAAAGCTTTGGAAAGCTTTGGATTTTTTTTTAAATGTTGAAGAGCTGACTGTTTATAGTTGAAAATAGAGAAACATTTAATATGATAGTTGTAGTAAGCCATAACTGAAGTTCTATGTCCAACAGTGTTTTGTAGAAAATACTGAAACAGTTTAATAAGGCAGTCATAAAGCAATGCTTCCTCTAAGATATCCTCTGGTTTCCCAGTCAGCATCTTGAGGACTTCTTGAACATAAATAGCCATGTGCATCATGTTCCTTAACGGGTTTGGTTCCTGTCTGTCTAGCCTTGTTTTAAGCTTACAGAACACAGTATCCTAGAGCAGTATGAATTTAACTATTTAACTGTGTACCATGAGAAAGTACTTTTTTTGTTGTTGTTTGGAAATTCTGCATGCTAGTTTTGTTGGATGCTCCTACTTCTTGCACTGTGAAAATTTGTTCTTCATACCAGTCGCAGTTTTATACACCTCTGTAGTCTTGTTTCAGACTAAAGAGTCCTCTTAGCCTATTTTGATTTTTCTTGTTATAAGAAAAACAACAAACAACAATCTGAAAGATGGGGCCATTTCTGTGTCATTTCTGGTTGTATGTGCTGTGACCGGAAGAGTCCATGGAGCGTAAAATGAGATGCTGATGACTTCTGTCTGTCCTTACATTCTTTTCCTAATAACTCTTAGCATTTTTTGTTGTCTTTTGACCGCTGCTGTGCGTTGGTTTGATTTTTCAGAGAATTATCTGCATAATACTTTGGCTTTACATAGCAATCAGAAAGTAGTCAATGCAGTCAGCCTTTCCTGCCCTTTGCCTGCTTATCCCTCCCTGCTACTCTCCACTTACCCCCATCTCTTAGGTGGTGCATTAGTAAGCACCTATCTACAGCGCTTTGCAGTCATGCTTTAGGTTATTCAGAATAAACTGAATAAACTTAAAATTGTAAGACACTTTTTTTCAGTCCATTATTCACTTACTGTTTTTAAAATTATTCTCGAGTGTTTTGAACAGAACATAGTTCAGCCTAGATTGGTATGAATTCCACTGGTAGCTTTTCTTTTTCACAGAAACTGACTGCTTATTCAAACTTGGTGTCTCTTCTTTTAAGTGGTTACTAGTTCATAAAAAGGATCTTGAATCGTAACCCGCAACAGCTTTGCTTATTTAGGAAGCATTGCTGAAAGGCTCCAAAAAATTTCTGGAAATTCATGTTGTGTGCTTGGTGGGTGTGTGTGTATGTGTGCATTTACATTTGTACACACATACATACATGCTTATGTGTGTATATATATCATATAGATATGTGTCTAAGCCTTTTTTTTAAGCTTCAGTAAATCTGATGGCAGCGCACAAAGTAGTTGTTCGGCAGTTCCTTGGATCCAGGCTGAGCCGCTCTTTTAAAAAAGTTGACTGTCTGCTTACATGTCAGTGTTACCAAAACTTACTAGATACTAGGTTAAACACAGAGGTGGTTTGGCAGGTCGTTTGTTTGTTAATTCATTAGAACTCTTGTTTGAATTCTGTTTTCACTTCTGATGGTTTGTCATTCTTATTTTCATCACTTTTTTTTTCTGAAATACCTTGCTCTTTCTGAATGAGAGAAGAGTTCAGAGAAACTTAATTACTTCAGTGGAGGAATCTTTTAGAATTCCTTCACTGAGAACGCAGATGCAAGTAACTTATTTGGATTTATTGCTATAGCCATATCTTCTTGTATCCAAATGAGAAAAATAGAAGAGAGTACGGAATGTGGCCAAAAAATATGAAGAATGAACTTGCTTAATGGTAGGTGAACTTCCAGATATAGCAGAATTAGGAAGTCTTTACAAGAGAGTGGGACTGGAAGATGATCAAGATATGAAAAGAGAGCATGATTGACTTTTATTTGTATATTTTTACTTTTTCTAAAATGGTGTCTTGAAGCAGTTTCCATGGCACTGGCAAGCATTTGTTTCTTAACAGTTCCTTTCTAATGCTGTGAAAAGATCCCTTGCTTTCTGTGGCTTCTCTATTTAAAAGTAAGCATCATTAAGAAGACTTCCCTCCCCCCCCACCAACTTTCTTCGTTCTTACAGTAGTATTTTGATCACTGTGACAGAAGATGCTCTTTGGCAGTTTCAGCCTAAACTATGTTCTGTAATCCACTAAATCTGATGACTTCTCTTATGGGTCCTCTGACTTTCTCTTGAAGTTCATTATATGGTCTGTGCTGTCCAGAGGCATACTGTTGAGGATAAATGGAATTCCCATTGTTACCCTATTTTCTGCTCTTAGCTCCTCTTAGTAACTAACAGTTGCCCAGAACAGTGAGTTAATTTATGTGGTATTACGTCCTTCCTATTTAGGCCTGGGATTTCAGTCCATAGGGCTTCCTGAAATTTTGTTGATTTGGTTTTTGTTTTGTTTGATTTGGATTTTTGTTTGATGATAAACTTTCTTTGACGTGGATCGCACTATGTGGACCAGCAGTATTTTGTTCTGTTTGTACCACTTTTGATTTGACATTAGTGTTCTTCTGACTTCCTACCAACTTCCTGAGGGTCCTGTTTAGATCAGTATCTTCATTTAACAGCAGACGTTTCTGGTATGCACTTGCATGCACTTATATACACATACATTTCTAGAACTCATCTAAAAGCACATATTTTTAGTCTGCCAGGCTGTTGTTGCTAACCTATTTCTAAATGAAATTTTACTGGAGACTGTACTGGTGCACATAAGAGCTGATTCAGACTATTTGTGACTGAGAAACTGTATTGCTCAGTCTCTGTTTGAGTTCAAAATCTTTTTGTTTGAACATGTTAAAAAAAAAAAATGCGATGAGAAGGAGGCTTCAAGACTTAATTGTAATCTTCAGGTTCATCTCTACCACTAACGATGGAAATACTGATTAATTGATAGTAATTGAAATACCAGTAGCTTGCTCTCAAGGAAGAGCATTCCTCTCAGCATTCTTCAGCGTTTTCTCGGGGCCAGTGAGGTACTGATGTGTGTGAAGTATGCTCTCCTGCGGAAGCATAAATATTTTTTTTTGTCATTAATCTCCCTTAATTTTTTAGGTATTGCGAAACTGTATCTGATGTGCTAAGTTCTGTTAAGAAAATGGAAGAAAGTCTGAAAAGGCTGAAGCAGGCCAGAAAAACTGCAACCCCAAGCCCTGTTGGTACAAATGGGGGCATGAGTGATGACGACAAAATCAGGCTGCAGCTGGCCCTAGATGTTGAGTACTTTGGAGACCAAGTAAGTTGAAAGAGAAACAAGTTTACTTACTGTTGTCAGTGATTTTTTTGAAAGGGAGTGAGGTGGAGGAAGAAAAAGGAGCTTGGCTTAATTGTCTGATGTTGAAAGCTTTGGGGTTTTATTTATTTATTACACCTGTGTAATGCAGGTGACTTGAAACCTTGGCAATTGTACATACAGTTTGAGCAATGCCTGCTTTCATGTGCTGTCTTATATAAACGAAAAGTTTGTGCTTCTCACTACACAAAATTCAAGTGCTGCTTAGTGCTTAGAAGCACTAAAAAAGTGTCGTACGGACAGACCAGAGGGCAGGGAGTTTCCTTAGCTCTGATGCAAACACCCTTCTGGCCCTGGTTTTGTTTGCCTTCTCCCTAGATATTACCAACCTTGACTTACTGCACAGTCAAGGATCTATTCTGAAGGGCTTTGAAGGTGTCAGCCTAATTCGTTGTGCTAAATAAATTTCTTTCAATGCCTAATATGAAACCTCAAGTAGCACAGTCAAAACAAATAAAAGAACACAATATTCCAGGAAACATGTGCGGTAGCTCACATCAAATTGTGTGAACATACAGGTTTTTATAGTCGTTATTTCTATATATAACTTCCAGAAATAAAATAAACTTCTCAGTGCAAATCTGTATCGTTAGTTGCCAAGCAGTTGTCATCGGTCTTGTTTATGAGCAGATGTTGCTGATGCATTATAGCAGGTAGATAAATTCTGCCTGTGTATAAGCAGATGCTTCTCTCATATCTGAAACTTATCACAAAGGAAGCAGATTTGGGTGAAGGTAGAGGAATCTTATTAACAAAAAACATTTGGCAGATTTGGTTGGGGGTGGGTGAGTTTTTGTTCTTTTACTCCTGTTCTGTGCACTAACACTACTGCAGTGTAAGTTTAAGCTGTACTGGGATAGATTGTGAATAATTACTTGGCAGTTGTTTTGATACATGTAAACGTTATCCACAGTTCCAGTAGAAGAACACCTTTTTAGAGCCATTTCATGTTTGTTTTATTTAGATACAGGTTTTTCTTCTCCAGTGCACACTTAGTTTTCTCAAGGTCATATTTTTCTAGTTGTCAAAACAGTAGATTTCATAGGTAAGAAGTGACTCTTAGCAAGCCCCCAGTTGTTGTTTTCATCCCCCAGCAAGTTCTAGACTAGAACCATAGACTCTTACAGCCTATTGAAATGCTTCTATCATCACGCTGTTGGCTGTTCTTGGATGGATACTTGTTTATCTTTAAAAGCTGTGCCCAGAAACCTCGTTTGGGGTTTAAGAAATTTTCAGTTGAAATCGATGCATTTAAAAAAATAACGTTACAGCCAAGTTTCTCTTTTCTAATTGCTCTGTTGAAAAACTTCCAGCTGGCTTTAGTTACAAGTTGCCTGGAGGGTGGTTAAATATTTTATTTCGAGGCACTGTTAACTGGAAAGAATTTACTGAACAAAGTTGGATAGAAATTTTTTTTGTAGTGTGCCCTGTATGCGGTGGCCATCTTTCATCTTTTGCTGCATATTGCAAGACAAAACTTTGCTAAATGTTTGCTAAATGTTTTAAGTAGAACAATTCATGAGCTTGTGGCATTTAAGGAAAGTAACGCTTCTTCTATGTCTTTTAGATACAAAGGATGGGACTGCAAACGAGCAACATAAAAAGTTTTTCGGCCCTTACAGAGCTTGTTCTAACTGCCAAGGATCAGACCACAGTGGAACAATCCTAAATATTTTTGAAAGCATGTGACTGAAGATAAACAGTGTCCCTAAAAGAAAGAGGGAGTATTTAACTTGTCTTTATTTTACCAAATTAGTAGCAATGAAGTGCTTCCTAATGTATCTCAATCAACAGATCAGTGCATCTTATGTCAAGATAGACTTGTTTCACCAAAAGACTGAGAATTTATTAGTTTTCCATTATATGGAAAGCAGTCAAAAGTTCTAAGCTTTCTACTATAGAATAAAAGTGGAAGAATGTTTTTTATTTTTGCTGTAAATCTTATGTAAAAGAGAGAACTTATATGATTAAAATAATATCTAATAAATCGTCTTCCTAATTTTGATGTCCCATATGTTTTTGAATCAAATATCTAAATAGGACATTTATTGTTGACTGTCTAAAAGTTTCAAAGGGACAGCTCTTCTGGAATAAGGAAACTGTTCACTGTAATAAGAATCTCCTATTTCTTGTTATTGCTTTGCAGCTACCAGCTTTTCCTCTTCCTGAGACCTAGCTAGCACTTGTTAAGGTTTTCAGTGCTTTTATCTTACTGATTTTTTTTTCTTGGATCCTGTGGTTGAGAAATGCTAGAGAAGGTTCCTGAAGTACTTTGTTTCAAGAATCATTTCTAGTATCACGGTATAATATACTGACTTTTACCTGTTTTCTGTCAAACTAGAACTTCATTTACTAAACTAGAATTTAAACAGAGTTGGCATGATTCTTATTTGTTTTTTATGATCTATTACAATTCAGGGGAATATTTTTTCCTAAATATATGTAGGATTCTCATGACTTAAAATTCTAATGCATCAGTCCTAGCTCCTTCAGTGCAATGTGCATCTCTATATAGCCAGGAAATTGAAAAGCGTTGTTAAGATCTGAAGTGTTAGAAGGATTAACAAAGGGCTGTCTTTATCTTAGAGCAAATTGCAAGGTTTGACACTCGCTTATATGAGGGACAGATGAGTCCAGGGAGAGTAATGAATTTGATTGAGGATTTTAACTGAGAGAATGTGTCCTGTGTGAGTAAAGGAGAATATATATATGTGTGTGTATATTTTTTCCCCTTATAAAAATTTCCAGCACTGGAATTCTTGTTTGTTTGTTGATTAGCAGGACATGCTTCTTTCTAAAATATTTAGAGAGCTTGGGCCTTAAAGGTGAAAGCTGGAGATGATCCAAGTCTTCTCAGTAGTGAGATAATGAGTGGGTAGCACATGGCTGTTACATAGCATGGCAGTTGTAGTCAGCAAACCTTTCACAACGTTAAAGCTTTTATTCCGCACTGTTGGAGATTTACCATATTTTAGTTGAAAATTATGTGATCACTGTGCTTGAAGCAAGTAGGATAGATGATTGTTACAGACTTTTCTAAATGCAATTTTATAAAAGTGGACGCAAGGGGAAAGCATTGTTACTACAATTATGTTGGCTCTTCTCGGATTCAGTCTGAGTAACAGAGAGCAGAATTTGACTCTTATGATTTGCTTAGCATCTCTGCATTCATGGCATGATACACAGTTGGAGAATATCCACATTTATTCTGAAGAAACAAACAACCAAGTGAACCAACTGCTGGATGTCAAATGTGTTCCGTTTGTCTCATTTAGTGGTGTGGAGATCCGTGGCCAGGCAAGGGCTCAATTTCAGGTGCTGAATGAACATAACTCTTGCTACTTAGGCAAAATAAGTTTGTTCTCCTGTCTGTATTATATTTTTCCAAGCTTCTAAACAACGAACCTAGAAAGCTTGGTGTCTGCTCCTTTGGGTATCGTTTGCTTGTACTAAGACTCAAGAACAGAGCCATTGTCCCAGTACTAGTTGCTGTTGTTTTCAGCAATGTTTTCTCACTTATGAAAGTGGATATGTACGTTGTGGTCTGAGGTCAAGGTTGCAAATGCATTGTTTAACTTCTCACTTTAGAAGGTGTGTATTTATGACTTTAAACTTCTGTAACAACTGTCAAGAGAGTTGCAAATCAAGAGGTCTGTGCATACCAGTGATTGAAGAGAGAATAGCTTTGTATCCTTCAAAATCAGAGGAAAGCATGCAATCTGTGTATCGAACAAAAAAAAAAAAAAAGGCATGGAAAAGCTACTTGCCCTCTGATTTCTTGCACATGGTTTCCCAGGTCATCTTGCAACAACAAAACTTCCTGCTTGTCACCATCAGCTTGCTAAGTATACAGGTTCAATTCCATTCTTCTTCCACTGAAGACTAGCTTTAATTTCAGGGTAGGAAATTACATTGTATAGCAAATGGAAAAATTACGTGAGTGGCCGTGTGATGGCTGTAAACATCTGTGTTGCTATTTTTCTGTCAGCTCTCCTAGTCCTTGTCGTTGTTCACTTAAAGAATAGCATTGCATTTTTCTTTCAGCGGAATAAGATGTTAGTAAAGAAAAATGTGCAATACCTCAGTAGTATGTATTATGGATCAATTGGGAGGAAAGGATCTAGCCTTTAAGCGGGCTCTGATAGAGATGTCTTCTGCTTTTCATCCTTTTTCTTCATCAGAACTCTTTTGCAGAAGCAAAAATCATTTAATGAGTGATACAGATCTTGTGCCTTCTCTTCTTTCCTTCTGAGACTTAGAAAATTTACTTTACTTTTCTGAATTCGGAAGGAATTTATTTTGTTTAGAAGTTTAGTGTTATAAAATTGAGTAGCGAAAAAATGGTGGGATGGTTTCTCTAAATGGTGATTGGGTTCTCAAGTTTATGGGCTCCACTAAAATTAGACCAGACCACTTGATTTAAGCTTATTACCTAAAGGTAACTAATTAAAATGTATATTTAGCTGGACAACTCAGTGTAGAGGAATACTTGCTCTAATCTTCCATCAACTGTTGCCATATTTTTGTGCTTTAACTGGAAGGGATAAGGAAGCAAACTGACTAGATTTTTTTATAAGCTTATATCAGGAATATTCTTCACCTGTGAGTAACTGCTTTGTTTTGATGAAACTAAAAAGCTTGTTTTTCATATTTTGGTTTTCCTTCTCCAAGTGTCCCATCTCTTAGAGTATTATTTTGGGTGTTTCATTCAGGAGACCCTTGATGAGTCACAGACTGCAGCTGAGAGCTCACTGCCCTCACTCAGCTTAGGGTACCTGGGCAGGGCGTTCCTGTGCGCCTGGCTGAGGAATGTGGCGGCACTGAGGGGAGGCCATAAACGTGTCTAACATTTGAGTAGCAGTTTTCTTGCATCTAAATTCTCATGGGCAAACAGAAAGCTGGAAAGAATATCCATGGCAATAACAGAAAAGTTCCTGAGAAGTGGCAGACCTATAAGTTGATGTTAATTGTGCTTATGTGGTGTTTAATTTTCAGTTATATACTATAAAGTAATAGTGTGGAAATTGCTAAGGGAACATCTATACTAATGCATTCCAGTTTATAAAGAGAATGAGAGCTTTTGTTCAAACTGTCAGCCCAGCATAATCCATTCATGGGTCTGAAAGCAAATCTGAGCTGCTCTTGTATTCTTCATTGTCACCTGTACTAAAGATTCTGCAGCTAGAACTCGAGCATCAAGAAAAGTGGTACTTACGGAAGAAAAAATGTTTCTGTTACAACTTTCTTGAGGCCGCAGTGTGATGAGTAAAATGCAGTAAAAATTGTAGACGTAAAATTGTGTCAGGAACAAATCTCAAGAGAATATATATTGTTGGGGAAAGGGGGAGATTTAGTGTTTTGGAATATTTGAATGTTGGGTATATATCGCTTATCCTTTTAATAGTACAATACGTGCTCCAGCGCTGCTTTTTTCACAGTTCTTGCTCTAGCCAAATACCCCTCTCTCCAGGGTACCAGTGGGAAGGTGCTTACTGCCACAGTTTCTTTTCTGCAAAGTGGTTTGAGGGTGTGTTGTGTGTGTGTGTGTGTGTGTGTGTGTGTGTGTGTGTTCCACAGCCCCCCCCCCCGGGTGATCCCTTAGCAGGGCATGAAGTCCTCTAGCAGCTTGCAGGACCCACCTATGAATAATGCCATTTTGCCCCAGAACTTACCAGCAGCATGGCCAGAAGCTCTGTTTCATTATTATCTGTCTTCATTGTAAAAATGGAACCTTTTCTGGTCTAAAATTTTATTTGTGGCTAATGCAACTGATGCTGCCTTCTCACTCCTATTCATAAATGGGATAATTTTTAAGTTAATGACATGTATGAACACTTGGAAGCTGCCTCTTTCACACTTACAGCTGTATTGTTAGCTGTCTTGCATAATTTGCAACTTAAATTGTTATATAAAACATGAATCTGGCTTAAAGCAAATTTCAAAAGCTGGAACAAGGAATCTAGTTATATACATAAATGCAACTTAACTGTGTTAAAGCAATTTGTAAGTAGTTTTATTTGCATTTTTCCTCTCCGCACATCTGCGATTAGACTACTTCTGCGTACAACACAAGCACAAAATTTAGATGTTAGAGCATCTGGAATACATACAGTATAATCAGATAAACATATGGATGCTACATCATAGCCTTTGCAATCCTAGTATTCCCAGTAGTGGGTTGTGCTATTCATTAAGTCTTCCACTGAGGTGGAAGGATCTGTCATGGATCTATACCACTGATAGGAGACTACTGGTATTAGTGATTCTGAGTTGCTTAGAAATTTGGGCCACGATGGATGACAATGAGCTACCGTACCAAAGAGGTTTGCAATTACTATCCAAATGCCATCATCGCTAAAGACAAATCTATAAAGATGGGTGGAAATGCTTGCTCCACTGATATCAAAGGCGGAGCTCCCGTAGACTTTCCTAGTACCAAGATTTTACTCCCTGTTCTTTTCTTCCTGATTCAAAATCCAAGTCTGGTTGTTCCAGTTTAACATTTTAAACATATATGACTTCTAAGAAGAGAATTGGACCTTGGAAACCTCTTTTACTCATGTAGTGGCACACCTGCCATTAGTACAGATAACTCCAATAAAAATAGTATTTAAGAACACGTGATTTGGGTATGTTAAGGTTTTCAGATCCAGGCTCCTAACCAGTAGTAATGTTTTTCATTATAAGGCTATAATAAATGCTTATAAAGTAATGCGATGGTGTTGAAATAGTAGGCCTTATTTTTTTTCTTAAAACCAAAAAAATCCATATACTTCTATCAGGGTATGAGAATTTCTCCACTGCAGTTCATTAGTGCTGCTGAGCCCTATTTTTAGCTTATCCATAGAGTTAAATAGGCATATCTATTTAGGCTACAGAAAGAAGAAACTTTCTACAAATGTATTTTTGCTTCCAAGGCAAAATATTTTCTCAGTGGGCCAAGTAAAGCCAACACCATGGGCAGGCAGCATTTTAAAGGAAAATGTGACTGAGCAAGCTAGAAATCCTTGTCGATAACTGTAAAACTTTCCCTGTAACTTAAAAGAGGGTCCCTCCTGCAAAACCGACCAAACTTAAAAAAAAAAAAAAAAAAAGACCTCTTAAGGAAAAATTAAATCCCTTTTTTTGGGACCTTTCTGTAGTAAATGCTGCTTGCCCTTCACAGAACTTTATTTTTTAAAGTCAATGTCTTGCTGACTACTGTTTTGTACTCACTGCCTTAAAGGAACTGGGGAGCGAAGTGAGAAAGTGGGAAGAGGGAAAGAAGAGGAGATGGAGAAAGTTTGAGTCATCTCACATTAAAAAGGTGAAAAAAGATGGAATGTTGCAGGCAATTTTGTAGCTTTTAAGAAGCTCTGTTTGCAAATATTATCTGCTTTTTCTCAAAGCTAAGTACTCAACAAGATCATAAAAACAGCTAATGAATACAAAAAAGGTGATGGGAAACGGAGCATGCACCATTTATTTCCCCCTCACCCCCCACCCCTTTTCAGTGCTTGCATTTAAACCCTGCTCAGCGGGTTTGTTACTCTGCCTAGAAGAAGCATTGCCTTGGACTTCTCTTCAAAAACAGCTAAAAGGAATGGCTTGTTCAGCGTTACTTCCAGAAGCCCCAAATCTTCCTTTTGTGTTGCAGGATCTTCTGATTGACCTGCTCCATCACTGTTGAGTTTGAGAAGGGCTTTATTTACTATCTGTAAAGCAAATACGTGAGTGAGTCTGGAGTCTTCAGGACGTAATAGTGAAGTCATGAACAAAAGTATAAGTGCGTGGAAAAAAAAAACATGAAGTAATCAGTAACTTCAATCAGCTGTAGCCACACATAAGATACAACCAGTGAATGTTTATATAAGACCTTGGGGTACTTGTTCCAGGACATGTGAAAAAGCTCTACAATGGCTCGTGCACGTGGGCTGCATGAAATCTTGGTATCCTGGAAGCCCTTGACAGCGCTTCGAAGGTAGGATACCTTCTAAAAACTAAAAAAGTAAAGGTACTAAAATCACTCTTTTAGAACATAATTTTCCTCTTTTTATGAAAGACTGTCCACCTCCTTTAAGTTCCCCCTTCTTCCCCTTGTGACTGGATGCTTAAGCTTATCTTCAAGTGAGGTAGTGTGCTGCACTTACTTCTATATTTGTAATTTCTGGGAATAGTCCCAAAGTGATCATGGATTATGCTGAACAGCCTAATAATTGCAGCCTCCGCCACCTTCTCCAAATGTGGTGCTTTGAATTGTTTGAGCTGTTTGGTAACGAAGGCAATTAATTTGTTTGTACAGAATCTAGCACACCAAGACCTCAAACTTCATGATTACCTTTACAAGTTACGTTTCTTATAGTGATGAAATTTGGAGAGTTTAAGGCAAACCTGTTTCTACTGATGGGTTAATCTAAAAAATCATTTTAGATGACTACCATTCAGTCATCTTGAAAGTCTTATACCGATCATATGTTCCACATGGCTCTTACTACATGTTCTACATGGCTCTTTTGATTTAGGTAAATGTATACAGTTAAATAGGCTAAAATTGAGAAGGAGGGAATTTTTTTTTAGTGATAGGTACTGTACCTTTCCAACAGTTAGGTTGGCCTCACTTATTTTACTGAGATCTGCTTCCTTCCCCAGCAATGCAGGTAGTTTCATATCTGTAAGAAGTTCCTGAAGATCAGAGTTGCCTTCTACTGTTAACTCCGGCAAAGTTAATTTGATTTGTCTGAAGAAAAGAAAGAGTGAGACAACTGAGTGAGTATTCACTGATATAAGGTGTGATGCTTGGGCAGTTCTGTTGAGGGAGCATTTGGAAAGTCTCAGGAAAGGGTGTTCTGTGTGTGAGAACTGAGACAGCTACCAGCTGTGTATGGGCTTTGTGTTACTCTTTCGAAGTGCAAAGTTACCGTTAAGTCTGCCTGTAGGTACACTATTAAACTCAAAGTGATCCCATTGAAGGGTCCTCAGTTGTCAGCTGCAGAACAGTACTTGCTTATTACCCTGAAATACCAGCAGATAAAGCGTTGATCCTATTGAAGTTAAGCTCTATTGGGGTGAAACTCTCTCAAAATCAGAACTAGGGGTTGCCATACGCTAAGGAAAGGGCCAAGTGAGGATCTGGGATAGTGGCTTGACAGCTCGTGCGGTTTCCCAGGCTAGACTGAATACAGCTGTAGGAGCTTTCGTTGTGCATCTGAACGTGAGCTGGGCTGTGGGAGTGAAGGCCTGCAGAAATTTATTCTGATAATACTATGGCATCCCTGGGTTTTCCGTGCATTCGTGTTTGTGCTGGATGTTACCCCTTGCTTGGCAGGATCCATCCTTTGCCAAAGAGCGGGAACCAGGCAGGCCTGCACTGTGGATCCAGCCCATTTTATTCATTCCTACGGGAGAGCGTTTGTGTGTCTGAACTGTACCTTGGAGACAAATCCTGAAGCCAGGCGGAGGATTGCACGGGAAGCTTGGCCTCTATCTTGTCCAGGTCATTGCCATTAATGGGCTGCACCAGCACTAGCAGAGCGTTCTTGCTGACGGGAGCTTCAATCACAGCGAAGGTCTTGCTGGCGTCAGTTTTGTACTTGAACGTCCCCATCACTGACATCCCAGGCACTGAGACCTTGGTGTTTGAATCAACCCAGAATTTCTGAGGCTCTTTCAGCCGCGAGGCTTTCTTAATAGTGACTGAAAAACAGATTGAGAATTAGTAATTGATTCTCCTTTCTTTCTTTCTTTCTTCCTTTTCACTGCTGCCCTTAAAAATTATGTCTGTTCCAAAAAAGCACACTACGTGTTATACGAAGGTCATGTGTATAAGATGATGTGTAGGTACCTCAACCATATGTATCCTGCCTTTTAAGTACCCTCTGACGGCATGAGGTAGAGGTTGGTGCAGACTCGGGGCACGAGGTCCAAACAAACACGGGACTGCTACCAGAGCTACTGTATTTCCACCGATCTTGTGGCCTTTCCTGGACGCAGTATTTCTGTTTACCTGGTTACCTACCTCCTCCAAGACTACCAAATGGTTCCCAGTTTGTTTCTAGGCCTGTGTGGAGGGTCTGTTTGGGTTTCTGTGACCTGGGCAGCTGGGAAGCCCGTGGCAAGTGCCGCAGGGATGGCCCTTGCTGCAGGGATGCCCTTAGGTGAGGAGAGGCGGCCACAGAGACAGCTGGGGGGCTTGTGAAGGACAGCTATCACGAGCTCTCCTCCAAGCCTCACCTCGGGTGATCTTGAGAACCAAAGCAATGACGGGCTAAGCCCTAAACATGACATGTCGTTTAGGCCAAGGAGGTTAAAAGGACACGTCTGAATGCTTTCTAAACAAACCTTAATATGAATTTCTTACCCAGCTCACAAGTATAGGGAGCCTTGCTCTCGCCTCCTGCTGCTCCTGTGCAGCTTTGCATTTCAACAGGTTATCTGCCCATTGCCATAGATCAGTGCTGCTGCCCAGGTGGACAGAGAATCCTGTTGACGTTAAAGAAGCTGCTGCCGTCAGTGAGAAGGGCAGAGTTCAGAAACCTTGAAACTGCTCTTTGGCGGAAAGGAATTAGGAAAACAGATCATATGTTGTGGTAAAGAAAGGAACCCCTGTAGTAAAGTATTATTGGTGTAAAATAGGACTTGGCCTAGCTGTACTGTTAACCAGTCTGTTCTTCAATAAATCTAGATAAATCCTGGGCCCTAAAACATTTAATACGTAATAAATTGTTGCTTAAAGAAACTCTTGCCCTTTAGATGACTTGCATAAAAAGGCCAAGACGTTTCACTTAGACATTTTCTCTTAGTATGCTAACTTCACCAAAAAAAAAAGCAGCAGGCAGGAACGTGAAAGGCATAAACAAAATAATGAGTACAGTTGTTCACTTTTCTCTCATTTTACTAGAACAAAGGATATAAGCTGAAAGCAGAAAGGAGCCATTTTCACAGTGTCCGTATAACCTGCAGTACTTGCTGCACAGGAGAGCAGAAGCTGAGACTGTAACAAAGGTAAATAAAAGGAAAAAAGAACTGGGCATTCAGATAGCTGAACATATAAGGTTGTGATGGTAACTATTTTTAAATAGTCTTGGAAAGCACATAAAGAATCTTAGCGAGAAATAAACCAACATTAATTACTTACAAGGCAGCAGGTTAGCTAACAGGCTGCTTACTGATATTTCCTTCCCCTTTTCTCTGAAGTAGCACTGCCCTGTGTCAGCCATGGACGCTTGAGGACATGGACCTTGGATTTGCTCCAGGCTGTTCTTATGTTGTTATTAAGTAAAAGGAGCTCTCCAGAAAGAGTTGACTCAAAGGACCAGGAAGCTAATTGCCTCTGGCACGTTACATGCAAACGTTTGGATGCAGAAAGGCATCTTGAAGCAAGAATGGTGCTTGGGAACTTCACAGTTTAGTTGTATGTTGTTTTGTTAAACGCTGCCAGTGGGGAAAAAAAATCACTGGTTGGGCAAATAAATGAGCCAAGCGGATAAATTGTTTCTTCAGCAGTACTGTTTTAATTATTTATTGGTGGTAGCGCATTTGGATCTGATTATGCAAAGTTTCAAAGCTCTGCTGTTGACTGTGGGACTGGGTTCATTAATATTGGGCCAGTCATGAACCACCATAAATCAGCATTGCTGTGCTGAGAGAAATGGCTCCCATCAGCCTTTTGCCAGGTAAGGATTTGGATGCTTCTGCCCTCAGCCAGGTTTTTTTCTGCCAGATGTTCCACAAAATACTAGAATGTGAAGGGAACGACTGGGAGCTAAGCACGCACTCCCCTGAAAGTGCTGCAGAAGCAGTCGGTAGTCTTAATACAACAACTTGTCACTGTTCCTTACAGCACTGTTTTTAAGACATAGAAGAGATCTATTTACTAAAGAAACCCTGCTTTTTGCTCAGGCATGTGGAATGTAAAACAAAGAAATTCAAAGGTGATGAACATCCCGTCGATAAAAAGTGCTAGCTGTCACTGGAAGAAACGCGTTATTGCACTGAGTCCTCTTGGATTAGGACATGGTCACTGTGGGGCTGAGGAACGTTTTGTCAACCACGTGGGAGCAGGGAAGAAAGCCTGTATCTAGAAACAAAAGAAAGATAATGGAAGGGAAGTAAAAATCGTGGAAGCCATCAGTCACAGGTTGAAGATATAGCCTGAGAGCCTGGGAGAGGACAGGAGTACTTTGGAGTACTGCCTCTGGAGGACAATAAAGAGACACTGGACCTCTCTGCTTCAGATAAGCTATGATTTTTTTCGTTAATAATAATAACAAAAGGCAAAAAGCATCCCACCACGTTTCTAGTTAAACCTGAAGGTGTTCAAGGTTATATATGTTTGAAAAGCAGCCTAAAGTGGGGGAAGGGAATTAAGAATCCTACAGTCTCACTGTGCTGCATCATCCATTTCCATTTGCTCGTTTGTAATTATTTTGCAACTTTACAAAGAAGTCTGCTTCTTTAATAGTAATAATATTTCATGAGCGGTAGATTTCTAAATGCAATCTGGGCTTAGCATCCAGTTTGCAAATGTGACAATTGTGTGCAAGAGAACAGCAAGTGAGACCATTGCAATATTTAAACTTTGTTTTTACTGGATTTTTTAATCAATCCTATGGCTGTCAGTAATATCTTACGCACATATGTAATGTGTTCCAGAGCAATGTAATGCTTTTTTTTTTTTTCCTTCCTGCAGTTAAAGGAGCAGGATGTGGAACTTGTAAGCACCAGCTTTCATGGTTGCCCCTCCATAACCAAACTGCAAAGCAAATGCTGAAGTCCATCTCCAGTATTCATTGGAAAAGAGTTGTTTATCTAATTCATTCATCCTTGAGCCAGTTTTTTCCAGCCCACACATGGAAACTGCATCTCAGAGGGCATCCTCGGGAGAGAGCAGAGGAAACAGCACTGACCTAGTGACTCAGACCCTCAAACGTGTGCTTCTAAACTAATAAAATAGCAAGTTTCCAAGACAGAAGACAAGGAAGAAATTGCTCTGCTAAAGGAAAAGTCTGCTCTTGCGATGATACGCAGCTCTGTACAAGGTTAAAATACAAGAATTACTTTTACAGCGCTATCTGTATGCTTGACTGTACACTGATGAAGCGAAAGCTGGAGTTCTTGGCCCCCAGTACTCACACCTTTCACCCGAGGCTCTCGGATCAGTTTATAAGCACGATAGATCTCCAGCAGACAGCACCCATCAAAGGCAAAGAAAATCTGATCTCCGTTTTACAGGTGGGAAAAGGAAGGCTCAGAAGCATTTCATGAGCTCCACCTTTAGCAGTAGATGCCTACTTAGACACTCGCATCTCGCTGGAAGTTCTCTGAAATGTAGTCATTGGTAATGCAGGCTGCCATAAAGCTGCAACCTCTGGTATTGTGTTCAGTTGCTAGGATGGTGAAAAGCAACTGTGCTCAGCGGAGGAGGCTCCGTGGTCGTACAGGGGCGTATCTGGGACAGCAGCAGGCAGTAGCTCCAGGCAACTAAGGAACTGCCTTACATCTTCTCATTTTGGATATTCTCCCAACTGGCAGCTTGCTCAGTTGCTTCCTTAGCCAGAAGTTGCCTCCGGACTTCTCTGTTTAACAGCCACTAGAGGAGCCATGTCTGCGGTGTGGGTTGTTTTCTTTTTTTTTTTGGCCTTTTTTTGAATCCGTACCTCCAGCCTGCACAATATCCTATAACACATAGTCCCCTCTAAAACCATGTGTTGTGTGAAGAGATATTTCCTTTTGTTTATTTTAACCCTACTTCCTGATGACTTTCTCTAGAAGCCCCTCACGGTTCTTTTTTTCCTTTTGTGGTAAGAAATAATCCTCTCATCCTTTGCTTCCTAGCTGAGGCTAATTTCTCCGAGGCAGTCTGCCTGCCTTGTCTCCATTGCCGTGGCGGGGCGCTGGCAGGGTGAGGAGAGCAGGCGCAGGGCAGGACCCGCAGCAGAGCAGGCGGCAGCACCTGGGTATGCGGCACTACACCTCTTGCACTGCACCTTTTTCCCCTCGCTGTGGGAACCTCCTCGACCTTGCCTCCTCCTCAAGAACAGAGCCTGACCCAGCGCAGCAGCACGGTGTTGTTAAATGGGACGAACGGGGGAGACTGGGGCATTACCTGCCCTTGGCGCGCTTTGCTGCTGAAATGAGCCCTTGCTGTTTCTTACCTGCCAAGTGAAAGTCTGCTGCAAACAGCAGGCTGGTGGCTGGATCGAGGTCTGCCAGTAAGTGCTTGCTTCGGCCCCCGCTTTTGGCCTCCACAAAGGCGTTTATCTGTTTTGCTGCCGCACCTGGGTTTGTGAAATCGACGGCTCGAACGTAGAGCGCGTTGGCAGAAGGGACCAAGTCATGCACAAATAATTCAGACAAAGGCACCCTGGGGGCAGAGAACAGGTAGAGCGTCTTGGAAAAGAGCAACTCCTTATCCCTGTTCTTGACCAGGAGGCTTTCGATAGTCCTCAGGGTTGAAAGGACTTTGTGTCCATCGACTGTGGAAGTGCAGTCAGGGTCTCCAGAGGGGCTAACAAATCCCAGCAAACCCTGCAAATCAGTTGCCGTCTGGTTTGACGCACCTAGGTAGAAGGACACCAAGGAGCCATAGACACTGGTTGGTGACAGGAGGAGGTTTTGGCCTCTGTGTGCTTCCTTCAGCTCACTGTAAAACCGTGCACCTAAGACATAGACAAAGTCCTTCAGGCAGCTCACTCTCTGCCTCTCTCTGATGCTCAAGCTCATGGTTTCCAGCTTGACTATGTCATTCAGGTGATCTTCATAGGCAGGTCTGGTTTGGGACTCGATTGAGACAGGGACAAACGTCTTCTTTCCTTCCTGGACCAGGTTCTCCAGCTCCTCGCAGGTACTCTTGTTAAAAGAAAACAAATTGAAGGGGTGGACATAGACGCGGTCACAGGCCACTGCTGTGAGGCATGCGAACAAACAGACAAGATTTGCTGCCAGCTTCATGTCGAAAAACCACCTCCACAGTGTCTCCTTAAAGAAAAAGGAAGGAAGATTGATTAGCTTGCTATAAATACTGTTCATTTTACTTGTATGGAGAGGCATTAGCGTAACGCTGGAGTTACAGAGGTGAGAATTGCTGTATTTAGTGCTGGTCTGACTCTGCTCCCTGCAAAGTCCAGGGTGAAGTCGTCACCAGTTTCGATGACGGGAGGTGGAAAAATGCTAGGCAGAGATTTGATTTTCTTAGCCACTGTAGTACCCTAAAGATTCAGGTCCTGGAAGCAATATGGTCATGCACTTGGACCAATTAAGCTTGCCAGCTAGAGCGTACTAGTTCTGGCAAAACCCTGTAATAATGCAGCCATGTTGTTCCAGGGACCTAGTCAGAGCTACCTCTGCGCATTGCTGCACCGAGTCTTGGTGACACACGGACGGGCTAAGGAGCTTGCCTATTGTTACGCGGGAAGTGCTTTGGGAAACTAGGTGTCTTAAGGTCCTCTAAGCCATCCTGTTTTATATGTCTAGGCAGCAGAACGCTTGCCACTAACAGAGCATTTTGCGTTTTCATAGCCCAGCACAAGCATTCACTCTTACCACATGGCTGAAATGGATGCTTCTAGGCAAACACGTGCAAGGCTTCCTTATACAAATACACCAACACTGAAATCTTCAGGAGGGCTCTAAACCACTCAGTGCCACGTCTGTATCACCAACACTTTCATTTATATAGGGAAGTGTCCGGGTTTAAAAGCAATGTTCAAGCCCTGATGGCTTCCCAGCCTGAATTTTGATGTGCAGCCATATATCACTGAACGATCTCCAGGTCTTTTATGGCTAATAATTCTCCAGTCTGTGGTATCACCATTCTCTTGCAAATACAAAAACCAAGATGCACAGATGTTTGGTAATTAGATGTATACCTTGCCAAGTACATATGCATGTTAACGTGCACATCTGCATTCCCTGATTGTATGTTCATATCTAACAGGATTGTTTGCAGACAGGGTCTCTGCTGTTGCAGTGGTCCCTCAGGATGTCTAAACATCATCTTAGCTAGTGTCGGCCGGTCGGACCCTCAGTAATTTGCTCTGCACAGATGTGGGGGCAAAGACTTGCTGCAGAGCTCAAGTTCCAGTCCCATGTGTTCACACACGGTTTGCTCTTCGCTGTTAACTCCCATCCCAGCCTCTAAATTAGCACGTAGGTGGTGGCAGTTGCTGCTGTCCCTTCTGCTCCCTTCCTCTGTCTCTCTTTGCCTCACAGCAACTAGAGCTCGTAGTACGCTCCCAGCCCAGGTCCCGCAGCTGGGGATGTGCAGTGCTGTAGGGTTTCCATGCTGCTTACGACCAGTTAAAAAATTATCTTACGAAATATCCTTCCAACTTTCTCTTCACAGTTAACCCAGCCACTGTGCTAGAGCATTTCCACTCTTCTCTCCTCTGTGTTTTCCAGCCTGGGCCAGGCTCGGGGAAAGAAACAGAGAAGCCAGGAATTGGAGGCATTGTCCTTCCCTCCCTGGTCTTCTCTATAATGATTCTGTGTCTCTGAAGCACTCCTTAATCCTTCCTGTAGTAGCAGTGGGAAAGACTCTGTGCCACTTGCTCTAGAGGCAAAGCTATGGCTGTGCCATAAGGCACAGCTGGTGCCTGGAGTTTGCTTTCCTGCTGTGGCTCTAGCCATGTTGTTAACTCCTTTCTCATGAGCAGAAGCAGCAAGAGGGACAGTTTTCGCTTCCAGCCCTTATACTAAGCCAGATCTGCGGAGAGCGGAGTCAGCCCAGAGCCTTTCGCAAAAGCCTGAGATCTTGAGCAGAAAAATTGACATTCAAAGCAAAACCAATAAATGTGCTTACTCGCGTCTGTCCAGATCTGAATCTCCCCCTCCGACAACGGGCAGGCTCCTCTCAGCACCTTTTTGCTCCTGGAGTGCTGTGTTGTGATTGCAAGTGGCTTTATGCCCTTTCCGAAGGGAGGGCCCTTTCTGGATGTCTCCAGCAACACAGCACGAAGCCGCTTTGCACCTCAGGCTGGGCGGCTGAAAGGAGTTGGATCAGGCCAGATAGGACCTGATGAAACTTGAGTGTGGCTTGACGCTGGATTCATAGAAGAGTCTACAGATCAATACACAACCTTTAACCAGACCCAGTACATTTGGGTAGTCTGCAGTTAGTTACACATTTACTAAGATGGACACAGACTCCTTGTTATGGAGAAAGAATTGATTCTAGGGCTGGAAAATAAGTCAGTCCATTTTAAGTCAGAGTCAGAATGAACATTTCCTTGCACCTGCATTTTACTGTACTGTCAGATCAGATTTTTCTCTTTTGGATAAATTGCTTTTAACTTGCAGCTTGTGAACCCATCAGTAAATGGGATATGTACTTCCACGCAGAGTGAAATGATTAAGCTCTCAATCTCTAGCCTTTCTTTTTCTCTTAACCTATCCAGAAGATCAAAAGTTTGTTTCTTTTCATCATAAAAACAAAATGTGTTGAAAAGGACAGGATTAAAGCTAGATGGTAAGGTTGCCAAATCCAGATCCCGTTCTCCACAGGGAACTCACCCCTCCCAATCTCAGTTTCTCAAATCCTAGGATGTCAAAATATTGTCATGCATAAGGGGTGGGATTCAGAGGTCTTTCTGCTGCTTTAGAAGTGATCCTCCGATTTTGCCGGGCTACTTCTTCCTCTTTGAGTAAATGAACAGCAAACCAAACTGGGGCTGCTGCCATTGGATTAAACTGAGTCCCGTTCCCTGCCCTCAGTGTACTTAAAGTCCCATGGCTCCAACAGGAATAAGACTGAGTTAATGGCCATACCCTGATCTTAGAGAGCCGATCAGGCATGGTAGGCCCTGTGGAGCCCAGTGACATGAAGACTTCAGGGAGAGAGGCAGGAACGAAGGCGGGACGGGCTGCTCACCCTGGGCCGGGGTGACTAACAGTGACTGGATTGCACTGTCAGGATCGGAGAAGGGATGGAAAATTTCCGCAGCCCTGCTTTTCATTTAAACAGCTTGATTACTTTAGCTGTAATGAGGTCTAAAAGCAGTTCTGAGTATAGGCCCGTGTGGCATGCCATCATGCGCACAAGGCCTGAATAAACAGCTTGAAATATTTAAGGTGTTTTCTCCTCTCCCTGCCTGAGCATCCCAATCTAAGAAGCATCTGTCAACAGAGCAACCCCCGAGCACTTATGCAGTCTCCAGATGGCTATAAAAGGCATGCATCCCCGCCACGGATCCAGGCAAGCGAGAAGCGGTTCCTCCATTAAAAATGCATTTTGTTGAGCTAAATATTGAGAAGAGAGAGAGCTGGGTTTCTGGCTGTAACCCCCCTTTGCCTACAGCTCTCCCTGCAGCCAGGCAGCCAGGTGCAGCCGGCTGGGGCCCAGCTTCTCGAGCCCGGAGGAGGCTTATGCGGGACGTGGGGTGGCACCATCAAACCTGTGTTTCCTGCTCCTCTGCTTTTGCGTTCGGCATTCGGCACCAGTGGTGTGCGTGGGGGCCAGACCGTGCCGGGCCTGTGAGCCGTGGCTGGTCCACTCTGTCCTCCTATGCAAGACTTAACCAGCAGAAAAAGGAAACTGCAGCACAAGTTTTCAGTGTCCATAGAGGGATTTCAAGCCTAGGCTGTTTCAGTGAAGGGCACTTTGTGCTCTATAAAACACTGAAAAATATCCTTATTAACAATAATTGTTAACTTTTGCTGACAAGCCATGAGGGATGCTAATAACAGATGCTACAGCTGCCAGACTCGTGTCGTTACTGTGGACAATAAACACGGGAAGAGGAAACCATGTAACCTGCAGCTGCTGCATCGTCCTCCTTATATCATTATGCCTTTAGCCATGATTCAGAAATGCTGCTGTAGCACGCTGCGGGAGCTGTCCTGGGGGGCATCCCTGCTCCCAGCTGCCCTGGGGCCCCCCTGCAGCCCCGGCTCCTCTTGCCGCGGGGAGGCTGGGAGCAGGAGGCAGCTCCCGGGTGGTGCTCTGGCGGCTCCATCGCAGAAAGACAGCTCGGTTTTTAGTTGAAAGTCTTCAGGTTTTTGGCCGAGCCGATCTTTTTTTTCTTTTTGGTGTGTGCGGGCTCGGTCCTATTTTCTTCAACAAAAAGTTGTCAGTAACTTTGGGGAGCGCAGGGATTGTTGTTTCTTGTTGTTTGCTTGTTTTTTCCAAACTCAATCAATAAAGTCGTTGAATGAAAAGACCCAACGATCTCTAGAAAACAGTTTCACGGGAGAGTTTTCAGCTTCTGCACTGCTCACAGTCGCTGTGGCCAGCAGCGTGCAAGAAATGCCTGCGCCGCATCACTGGGGGCGAGTGAGCAAGGCAGCGGCAGCTGAGCCGCTTTTACCACTGTGCTACTCCTGCTTTACGTCACAGGAAATCTGGCTCGACTCCGTAATGAATTAGAAGCTTTGATTTTAGCTTATGTTTGTGTCTTTGTACAAAGCTCAGACGCCAAGTCCGCTGCTCATTCACACTCGCTCAATTAACATTCCCCGATGAAGATGCATCAGGCACTATCGCACTTCTTAGAGCTTCGTATTTTAATCTTTTCACACTTTCCCTCTGGCTGCACACACGTTGCTACACCTGGGAACATATCTCATCCTGTTATGACTTAATTACAGTTAGTTTTTTACTCCTGAGCCATTTTTAAGCCAGAGTGCACAAATATCGTTCTAATTACTAAATGTGGACTCTCTTATCAGGCTTTTCCCCCCCCCACCCCCCCCCTGTAGAGTGGGGTAGCCAGGGTTTCAGGAATGAGCATGTGCTTCAAGGTAGAGCTTCGACTTCCGAAAGGTGAAAGTCTCTGCCGTGCCCTCAGCTACCCTGTCTGAGGATCTGGTGCCCCAGGGAGCTGTGGCAGAGGCACCGTGCCAGGCAGAACGGGCACAGAAAGCTTTCCAGCCACCCCAGAAGGTAAAAGCAAGACCTCTCCTAAAGGCATCGCCAGCCCAAACAGAGCCCAAGGCACACGCGTGAATCCCACCTTGCAACAGCCACCGAAAAGGCGCAGAGAAACACACACCTCAAACCTGCTTTTCGAGGAAGATGCTCATGCTCTTCTTCTCCCCCACTCTCTGATTTTGGGAGGTGACCCAGGTTTCCCTTTTATACCCACGGTTACATAAGCGGTGCCCCAGCTCCCATCCCCCAGGCGCTGCCCTGATTTCTGTTAGAAACCTTTCTCTGTTTTTGCTGTTTGTTATTCATGGTGGCGGCTTCCCCCTCCAGAGAGGGAGCAAAAGAGCGGCTGAAAAACTGGTCTCATCGGCACTGCACTGCGGTTTTTGTTTCCCTCGCATCCTCTCTTCTCCTCTCTTTTGGGCTATTGAAATTAAATCCGTTTGTCAGACAGGCTGACTCTCCTGACGTACGAATGGGGAACAATTGGCGGCCAAGGAAAATTTCTCAGTGTTATTGCTGTTAGTGTTTCTTTATGTAAACACCGTCAAATATGCTTCATAAATTTTAACCCTAGCAGAGGAACACTAATCTTAAAGCTAGCGGCGAATAATTAGATCTTGAATGGAAAAATGATTTGGTCCAAGGTTGAATATCAATTGATGGGCACGCAGGCTCTCCTCTTGCTGATGAACACTATGTCTCTGCTCTGTCAAACCGTGTTTTCATTGATCCACATAGTTCTGGGAAAGGCAGTATAAAATTCAGCACTTTATGTAGAGACAATAGTAAATATTTTATTCTGTTTTGTTCAGTTTGTTTTCCAGTTTGCTTAAATTTTGCCCTGAGATTTGAATTCAGAAGCAGCCAGACATATTACTGTGATGATGCTCTTGTCTCCTGTGAAGTTATGCCAGGAATTATTCAGAAGGAAGTTACTGTGGATCGAGGATAATAAGTGACTCCACTCGCTGATTCAGCCCACAGACAATGCTGAAAACCTTGAGAAACCTTCATGGATTGAACTGGCACCTCTCACCTATGTAGATTAAGAACCTGCACATGGCCAGCTCAGACGTGGAAGTCTGTACATAGTCACACCTCATTAGTTACTAGATGTGAGGATTTCTTTTTTTTTCAGATTAAAAGTACATTCAAGGAGAAGTAGGCACAAACAGTTCATTTATGCAACCTGTGGATTTAATTTGGTAATCGTAAACATTCATCAACATCAACATTCGTAACTGTTCCCCTTCTCTTATGTTTTGCCAATGGAAGACAATGTGAGATCCAGATACGGCACCCGAAGGAGAGGACGAATGACTGCTAGGAAAATGACCGGAAAACAGGGAGAAAGAAGAAGCCTGTGTGGGAGTACCTAACAGAAAGGAGACAGGGAATATCACTTTATCAGCAGTTGCAGTGGTTGCTGCAGATATGGCAGGCGGTCATGAAGCTGGAAGGCAGACCACTTGTGAGACACGCAAGCCACGCTTTCTAGAGCAGCCAAGAGCTTAAGCAGACTCCGACTCTTCGGCTTGGAAAAGCGGCCACAGAGATGGGGAGTGTAACCATATAATGATGAACAGCATGAAGAATGCAAACAGGATGTCCTTGCTCACTGTTTTTTCACAATGCCAGAATCAATGGGTACCCAGAAAAATTATCAGATAGCACATTTAAACAATAAGAAGTGCTCTTTCTCATATCTCAACCATGGAAGTCACTGCTATAGGATGCTGCAGAGACCAAAAATATTAATTAGTACAAAAGAGATTAAATGAAATCACAGAGGATACAGCCATCGCGGTTACAGAACATGATGGTCCAGACAACTGATTGGCTTGAATCTGAGCTTGATCGGTATCGCAGCTCTCATGGTCCTCCTTAAGGGCTTGTCTTCAACCTGTGATGGAAATGGAGATATCTGAGCTAAGGCCAGGTTAAGCTGGCTCGTCTTGTGGCACAAACTGGAAACTTTTTTTAATAGAGCTATCACAGGGAAACATCACAGCTAGCAAGCCAGCCCTCGGCTGCGGTGTGGCTGTACTGTGCTCCTTTGCACAGTGCATTTAGGAAAACTGAAAAACTTTCAAAAATTGTGAGTAAGTTCTTAATGTTAATCAACCACTTTCAGGTTTTGGTTTTTTTTTTGCTCTCTCACCCAACATACCTGTACTAAACCAGTGGTACCATGGTGTGAAATTTGTCTCCTCAGGTCCTGCTAGACCTTTGCTCTCTGTTCTCACTTGCACGGCACATGAAGTATGCAGTGACTTCTTTCAGAGCAAGTAAGTCGGGAAGAAGGTGTACAGAGCTCGTGTTGTGCCAAGCAGGTTCCTGTGTGGTACTAGACCAGTCTTCCACCCGCTCTCCCTGTGACAACTGTGGCAAGCTGCCCTGGGCCTGATTTTCTTTTGTTTACTTGTGCTATCTTCGGTGGGGAAAGGCTGGGCAAAGTAAATTTTTTAACTGTTTTAATGCAACTTTGATAAGGAGTAGCTTTGTATGTGGATTTCATTTTTTCATGTGTTTTTCTCTGTATACCTGACACCTGCCCTTGTTGGCTGGAAAAACTTTTCCAGAAAAGTAGTTGGTGAACAGGAGGAATGTAATCAGTTCTTGCCCAATTTTTGTGTAAAGAGGATTGCAAAAAAGCTTCTAAATAATAGCATTCAAAGTACAAATGATGAAAGAGAGAGAGATTATCGGGCACCTCTGCTTCTGCAGCAGGTTCTCACGGCGAGGAGCGATGGAAAAATTTGTAAGGGGGCTGGTACAAAACCCAAGGACCGCTTGTACCCAGGCTAACCCTAGGGTCAAATTTGGGAGCAAAACTGAATCAAAGCCACGCTTGGCTATTCCCTCAGGGCGAAGTTACGTGTCAGATGCCATGCTAGGCTAGCAGCCCACTGCCGCTGAGCTGGAGGGCCCTCCGCCCCGTGCTCACCTCAGCCTTCATGCTGCCCTGGCCCTTGCCGAGCTGAGCACCGACTGGTCACCAGCTCTGGTGTGCACGGGGGCTCCGCTCTCAGCTTGTCTCCAAACGCCAAGAAATGCGCTGCTCCCCACAGGGGCAGACCAGGGTAACGCTGGGAGCAGGTGCGGTCACCCTCTCACTTTCTCGCACCTCTGGCACAGCCTGGGTCGCACTGGCCCCCCGAAGCCAACAGGGTTGATGGAGGCCAGGCTGGACTCATTTTGTAGAAACATGGCTGGGTCCCCAAATAACTACACTTACAGTGCAGTAATCCCTCCCTCGTACACAGAACGGCTCTTTCAGACAGAGCCCGCAGCTGAGGTGCCATGGCCATGCCAGCCACTCCTGTAGGCATCAGCCCCAGCTTTGCGGTGAATGGTTTGTGATGGACCACGCTGGTCCTAGCCTGGCCACGAACCTTCCCTGCGGAGAAGGGTTCCCCTTCCTTTTCCCCTCAGCCTCCCTCTAGCCGCCTCCATCCTTCCTTCTTTGCCGACAGCTGCTTGCCCTGGGCGGGCAAGTAGCAGGGCTCATATTTTGGCTGTCACTTGATGTTCCTCTGAGAATAGTATCTGTTGCAGTTTCCCCTCTCACCCTGCCTCACTGGAGGAGCACTCTTATGTGTATACAGCTGGAATAGTTCACCAGTGAGAAACAGCCTGGCTCCTTCTCTGTTGCGGTGGTGAAGAGCTTCCTCCAATCTGTGGAGTCTTAGCTCCTGAAAGGCAGCTTCCATGCAAAGAGCCAGTGACAGGGGCAATGCTGCAACTTTCTTGGGTCAGCAGAAACGTTTTTCACTGCTCCACATATAATCTATGTTACAAAAAAGACTGAAGGTTTTGGAGACCCAAGACCAGAATGAGGCTTTCAGATCCACTTTAATTTGAAGGGTGCATAGCTCCCAACAGCAAAATTGTTGGCCTCATTGGACTCCCTCCCACTTTTGGATTCTGATAGAAAGATGCAAAGATGGTAGAAAACAGATAGACTGAACCAGGCAGCATCACGTTAAGGGTGCCCAGGTAGATAACCTTGTCTAAACAAGGTTATCTCTCCTTGGAGCTGCAATGTGCCATGTAGCTGCATCACAGCTCTTATAGGACTAGCTCCAGTAACACTGTGTAAAAGTGGGAACCAAATTCCCATGTGAATGCCTGTGTGGATCTATTTGCACATCTGAGTCTGCAAAAGAAGGAAAATACATTACAGATAAGTGCTGATCCAGCACATTGCAAAACTGCATGGATTTCTATGGCTTCCTCTCTTCCTAGGCGAAGGTGCCTCCGTGTGGAAGGCCTCTGCATCTCAGCTAGGCATGCAGTAGGAGCCGTGTTTAACACCAGTATTTGTGGCTAAAGTGCCAATAGCGTTTGAAAATGTCATTGCTTTACTTTTTACTTTATTAAACCAGTAATTCTGAGAGCAAGAGAAGGCAAAAACTTAAACTTTTACCCACCAGTGTTTTGTTTAGTTTTGTTTTGTTTTCTGGAAATAAGGAGAGACCCTGTAAGTTTTTGAGGTTTCTAAAGGTAAATAGCAAAAAACCCATCCTCTCACAAACCAGAATGTTGTGCTTTTTAGTTTTTAGTTGATCATTTTTAAGCAAATGCATAAATGTTTGCTGCAGTTTAGAGTCTATTTTATTTTATCTTCTTTTTCTCCCCTTTCAATATTAAGCGTAAGGGCATGAAATAACATTTTAGCTTACTGCTTAAAGGATAAAGCTAGGGAATAGTAATTTCAACCCAGGATATTCCTAGTGAGAAAAGAACAAAAATTGCCTCCTGCTCCTGGTCAGGATGCTGAAGTAGGCACTAATGAAAGCCTCTGAAAACCATAAGCTCCCCAAAGAGCCCAGTGAGTGCTCTCAAAGCCATTCGCACAGGAAAATCTGAGTTCCCATACGGTTTCCTCTGATTTGGAGGTTTGAAGGCATGCTACAGCTTGGCTCCTCTCCCACGCTGCCACGCAGTGTTCCTCAGTCTAATAAAAAAGAATGAAAATAATCTTAAAAGCGTCCTTCTGTTTGTGAAATGACCCCCTCCTCCAGATAAATGAACTAATGCAGCAGTGTATACATTCCTCTGACAAGAGCTTGGAATAACAGCTCTGAAAACTGTTCCTGTTTGTCTTGGTAAGGCATTAGTTGGCTGTCTAATAATGATATTTCTACTGCCAGCACAGATAGATAGTGTTGTAATTACTTACCGAAGCACACAGGAAGATGTGGTTCATAGTTCTTTTTGGGTGCACAGAAGGTCAGAGT